TTCTGTATATTTATGGCCCAAGATCAACTTATTGATCATTATATTTTTTAATTTCCCTATAATTATTGTATATACTGGATCAAATGAAATGAGTATTTTGCAAATTAATCTTTAATTAAGCAGGTGCTTAGCACTAGAAATAAATTTAACAATTTATTAAAAAGCTGCCAGAAAACTGTGTCAGTTAATAGGGGAATTCACTGCTTTTCCTATAAATACATATGGCTTGTTTAGTCTGCTTCTTCTTGGTGCAACCATTTATTAGATAATAAAGGAAATTATATGATGAATATTATTTTAACACTTCTGTGATTTAAAGTTTCACTAGTTTCATTCACTTGTGGTTTTTGTGTGATGTTTCAGGCCTCTCGTACCCAAACTGTGGTGAAACTAACAGTTGTCCCATGTCCACCTGTCGTTGAAGTTCTCATAAAAAGGCCAGATGTTAAATATCAATTGGGATTTAGTGTTCAGAATGGAGTGGTATGTACAATTGATATTACGGAAATTCAACATTTACTTTGGAAAAGCTATGGTTTAACATAAAAAAAGTCCATTTTATAATTACAACTTCATATGTCAAGTTGAACCAACTCATTGATAAATTAAATGAGTTGGTTAAAAATTAAATGTTAAGTTTTTCATTGATAACACTACCTATTTTTTAAATTTATTATTTATGCAACATATCAGAAGTGATAAAACATTAAATTGGAAGTTACTTTATACCACTTTGTAGTAACATTAGCATTTAATTTTTAAAAATTATTATTTTTTTTTTACAAAGCCTTAAAAAAGGATTAGATGAAATAATAGAAAATTAAGTTATTCTATATGCAAGAAACAATTGCATTTTACTTGAACAGATTTGCAGTTTGCTTCGAGGGGGTATAGCTGAGCGTGGTGGTGTACGTGTGGGCCATAGAATTATTGAAATCAATAACCAGAGTGTTGTAGCTGTGCCTCATGAGAAAATTGTCACCCTATTGGCCAGTTCGGTTGGAGAGGTAAGAAATTTTAATATCTTCATGAATATTCAATAAAAGTTTATACAATTAAATTTTTGAAAAAGAACTGTAGAAAATAAGACTTTCTGACATTATTATTCAAACTATAAAATAAAGTTTTTTTCCTATTTTAAATTGACAAGTATATTCAATGTGGATACTAATAAACAGGTGGAATACAGAATTTTGGCAGAAAGGCAATTAGCCTATTTGACTCAATAAAGATTTAAAAAATTAAAAAATTTAATAAAATGTTTTATTGAATGATGCAATTATAGACAATATGTTCAGTGCTTCTCAAGTAGACTACTTTTGAGCATATGAGCTGTTTGTTTTTTTAATTTTAAGATAATATTCCTGGGCTTGTTAATTTAAAAAAAAAATGTTACCCTCTGAGTTCTTTTCACTTATAATTATGGAAATGTTAATCAATCTTTTTGCTCCTGTCTTGTTTCCATTAAAATTAATACATATATCTTTTTTTATTATCTCTATTAGTGCTAATGTTTTAAAGGTTTGAATAATCATTATAAATGCCAATTATTTGTCTTTTCTCCCCAGATTCACATGAAAACAATGCCCACATCTATTTTCCGACTTCTAACTGGTCAGGATGTTCCACACTATTTATAGTTCTATCACCGCTTGTTCAGATCTTGGACCATCTTCACCACCTGTTAAGATCTTTGACCATCATCACCACTTGTTCAGATCTTGTACTACCATCACTACCTGTTCAGTCAGATCTTGAACCATCATCAACAACAGCCATACATTTTGTGTTAGTCATGTATTAATTTTATATTAATGCATACAACTAACAATTTTGATATTAAATACCTCTTTGAAAATATATTGTGTTTTAAAAAATACAAATAATTTTCAGGAAAGTTTCATTTGAAATAATAATTTTTTTTCATGTTAGAAGCAAATGATGGTGAATAACATTAGTGTTTTTTTTCCTGCACATTTAACAATTAATATGAAAATCATTTATCCTTTAATCTGTTCCAATATCTTACCTTCCCTAAAACTGTTATGGCTAACTTATTCTCTATAGATCCATTGTAGTCTGGATTTATATTGACCATAATGCTATTAATACTGCTAACACAGTTCATAACGAGACCTCATAATATATGATTCACAGTGAGATTAAGATGTTACCATAAAGAGTTCTTGTGTGCTTTCTGCTATGTTAAGAAAATCCTTGCAATATTTCATCTTTGGACTGGGTACTTAATATGTACCGCTATCTCTCAGACATAATTACTGTCATAGTATTGCTTAGCTGACCACTTGCTTGTTTTGTGTTGCTTGTTCATTGGTCTCAAATATTACCACTGACAGAAGTTACTAGATCACAAATTTGACCACTGACACAAATGTCATGTTCATGGGTCTCAAATTTTGACTGTAGTTGACATGTTTTGAGCAATTTATTCACAAAAAAGAAGCTCATGTAAAAATAGTTCATTTTAAATCTGCATTTATGTGTAAATAATGTGACTTCAGTGTTCTTAAGGCTGTGGTCATTAGAAAAGTCCTTTCCATCATCAAATGCAGTTCTGCTTCAAACTAGTAGTAGTAGATCTGGATTCTACAAATGGTGGGTATGTTTACAGTTAGAGATTTGACCATATGTAAAAGTCATACATCAGGTTGCTGTTTATTTACTTGGTTAATAAATAGTCTTTAATCCCTTGAAAGAAAGAGTGACTTGATTTGATCATGAGTGTGGATAGAATGGTGATGACTTTGAAATACTGGGGTGAACCAAAAGTTCTTTGTTTTAATAATCAACTTGAACCATTATCACCACATGTTCCCATCTTGGACCATCTTCACCACTTGTTCAGATAAGTTCATTTGTCATTTCAACATAAAACATGTTTGTTGTCTTGTGACAGTCATGTAAACTTCCAGTATCATTGAACTTTTGGATTTTGATTGATGCCATGTTTACATTGGATGGTGGAAAACTGGTAATTTCTGATGGATTAGTATAAAGCTAAATCAAAAACCAAGCATCTTACGGTTTTACTGTTAATAACCGACTTTTAGCTGTAATTTTAACTATGTAAAAGTAGGCTTAAATAATGGTGTTTTTTAAAATTGTGTAAATAATTACATGTATGTTTTAGATGTTTCCATTTTAAGTGTCTTAAATTTTCATAAATTAATAATTAATTTGAAAGGATATATTATTATATGTAGATTGCTAGAATTAAATGAAGTTTGGGTTTCCAATTTTTTTTGTTAATGTCAATGCATGGCTCATGAGCTAGAATGGGATCTGTTCCTTTGTGGTAATGTCATACTATGATTGGATAAATATTGCCTACCTTACCTCAACAATTGTTAAAGCTATAAAAAGAGGTTTGTTTACATCTGTTTTACTCCATGGATTTATTTGGCATTAAGTTTTTGTTAACCAAGAAATATGTTCAATTGTTTTTCCAACCCAAATTTCAGTGTCATCTAGAAATGAATGCTTTGTGCGGCTATAGTCAAGTCCCATTATATGGCTAAGGCACAGGCATTTGTTGAATTTTTATTTGTTGGTGTACTTTGCCTCTTCTTGACCTACCCATTGTACTATGATATTATAGAAACAATGACAAGGGGTAGTGAAATCCACCCCTCTCATATAAATAATGCAATATGGTACAGATAACTTCATTGACACTAGGATGTAGATGCTGACCGCCAGTTAATGCTGTATGTGGTGTGGGATTGTCCAATAGGGCTGGCTCATATGTCTTATGTATTTTATAATAAATGTGCAATACCATGAACATGTTACTAACTTAATTGATTTTCTTTTTCTTGAGTGTGAAAGGAAGTAACTTGTATTATGACGATATTTTAAACAGCCTCTTAAAGAATTTTTTAGTCAGCAGTATTTAATAGACTCGTTTCATGCTAGCTAGCACCTCAAGCATACTAAGTCAAGCATGAATATTCTGACACATATTGCGTTTTTGAAAGTAATAAGAGTTATATTGATTAATGTCAACTATCACTGACATAATGATTAGAAATAAGTGGAAGTTGGATTATTCTTTAGTTAGCTTAATGAAAGTAGAAATTGAATTGGTGTACAGTAATATGTAAATGTATGAATGGCATTTCTAAGTATTTACTTTTCATTAAAGGTAATCTTTCCCCCATTGAATGGAATGCTTTAATAATAATTTCACCAACATTTCAATAATATAATTAACATTCAGTATTATTAATAAGCCATTAAGTTCCCTGCTTTTCTAACATCTGTAAAACCCGATTTCAAATTCTGGGCATTAGTAAAATAGACTTTAATTTTGTTCAAACAACTGATTGAAAAACAACTGCCTTAACTGAATCTTATTCTAGAAAGGGGTAAAGAAGTGAAAGTCAGTTTGAAAATACTTTCTATTTTATGCATTCAATTTAAAACTTTTGATCATCCTTACATTTCTTGTGATAATATGTGTTGTATAGAATTTTTTGTGCAATATCCTGTGCATGTGCATTGTTTGTCATTCTTCTTGTACATGCATGTCCATGAGTTAATAAAGTACCACATAGACTTTTATTTGCTTTTGAAGGTGCAGAACAAAGTTTTGTTGATTTTTTTTTGTTGGAGAAAGTGGGGTCAGGCCAAACATGTTACAGATGGTTTAGGATGATCCAATAGTGATGATCCAATAGTATTATTACAATAGTGCATTGTAGTCAAATGAATTAGTTTAAAAATATCAATGCCATAAACTAGCTCAGATTTTCACCTTCATTATTTTGCTCTGAGCTGATGTTTTTTTAAACACTATGGTTCTCATCTTTCATTTAAGGAAATCTCATAATAAAAAAACTGAAAACATTCAAATATTATGTTATTTCCATTAGTGTGTGTGCAATTTTCAAGCTTTAAATGTTAATTCTTGAGTATTTGCTTAATCCAGTTTAATGTTTAGTATGGTGTAATGTAGAAATTATGTAGACAATTGGGAGACATAGGGGTTTATTTCATAAAGAGACACAATTATTTACATTTCATTTTAATAATTTATATTACAATCATAAATATTAAAAAACAATAACTGTAAAAGCCAATATACAAATAACTTCAATCAGATACATTATTGCAGTAGAGAAAAAAACATTTTAAAACAAAATTTCAAAAATTTCACAATTTGTAATGTTGTCAGGAAATGTTCAAGATCATAAACCACATGATTGGGAAGAATCTGTTGGACGACTGTTTCCAGGTTTGGGAAAAATTGCTTTTTGAAGGGCTGACACTAGAGTAGACACTTCAGCCATTGCTCCATAACCTTAATTATATCAATTTAAATTATTAATGGATACATAAACTTTAATTTAATAAACTGCACTCACTATACCGTACCACTCTATTATGAACACCCATTAAATAGTAATAGAGTAATTTTTTTTAAAAAAGCTTTGACTTGAAAAGTTTTATATATCAAAAGCTTTGCCTTCCACCCTAAAAATAGGCGAAGGATCTCAGTAATGATTCCTATTGCCTGGCCGAACGAACTGCAAAGCTGGTAATGTCAAAGATGATTTAATGTATCTCACTAACTGTAAATGGCTGATAAAGTTCTGACCCCCGTTGAACCTACCAGTGTCTCCACATGCTAATTTCTTGCTGATGCATGGTATCTCAAGATACCCAAATCTCTTAAGTGCGTCTACATGGGTAGCTGTTATTGGATGCTCATACATAAATGTATTCATGGCTGGAGCAAACAGAAGAGGTCGCTGTGTATCCCATGCCCTCACAACACAAGTCTAAGATGTTAGAAAAATTAATGTCTTATTAAACTTTACTAAACAACTGCCAGTAACTTCATTAAGTTGAAATTATTGAAAAAAATGACATTAACATGCTCTGTAAATATTTATCATTTACAATGATTCAGATCAAATTAATTAATGTATTTTCTATATTACATTCATCAGATTGAATAGGAAAATTCACTTTAACTTTAAGGTTCAATTTACAAAATTACTTTGTCATATTCTATTTTTTTAACAGAAATAAATGAAATGATATGCTGAAAATTAGAAAGTACCGGGTCCTTTTAAATACTCACCAGTAAGTTATCACAAATACCATTAGCAATTTTTGCCAATGAATTAGCATCCAGGGGTGCAATTAACATAACATCTGCCCACCTTCGCAACTCTATATGCAACACAGGATCTTGCAAAGACGACCAGGTCTAACAGATTACATAATAATGTTTGTTTATTACTTTTACTACTTAAGACAGATTTTAAATAGTGATCAGAAAAAAAGTGTACATGGGAAAAGTGTAAAAAAAAAAATTCAAAAAAAGAATGTGATTGATAATTAAATATACATATCATGGGTTAAAAAAAATGAACACATTTACTAACAACATAAAATTGTTCAATTTAGCATGCTCATGTAATTAAGAATATAAACAATGTTCATTTAAAAAAATTTGTATGAAGATCTATTTTAAAAAAAAGGACACCATTCTAATTTATTTAAACATCTAAACAAGATGTGTAATTCATAAAGAGGGTTGAGACAAGTTTCTATTGAGTGAAACAGCCATAAATTAAAATATTGTGTGTCATACAGGTAAGATTTTCTTTAGGGGTTGTCCATTAAATACATCTAACAACTTTTAAACCAATTTTTTAACAAACCCCCCCCCCCCCCCCCCCCCCCAATAAAATTGTAGGAAAAAAAACCAATTCATTAAATCTTGAGCTTGTTAATCGAGTTAAAAAGTTTTTACACTGAAATTTTACAATGCAGAATCAATTGAAAGGTTGTTAAAGACTGATTACCATTGTTTGTAGTATAAATATGATTATTGTCAGTAAAGCTTCTAGTATAGTTTCTAGCTGCTATCATCTTGTCAAGGAGTAGCCAGGTTTGCTCTATCGTAACAATGGGCATCAGGGACATCATTTGGGTGGGGCAGGGGAATTAGCGCGCCCCCCCTCCCCCACTAATTTTGCAGGTTTTATTTAAATTGCCATGTACTGTGGCGCCTACAGTAATACATAACTTAACAAGCCGACCAAGTTTTGGTTTTGCCCCCCTCTGAAAAAATGACATGAAATGACACCCCTGATGGGCATAGTCTGTAGCAGCTGATTGATAATTTTAATCTTGCGGCACTGATATACCAGACAAGTCAACATCATCCTCCTCTAACCATTCAGCACTTAAAATAGAAGCATTGTCTGTGTGAGCAATAATTGCCATAAGCTCTATCTATCTCCTTGCAGCTACTCACAGTCGAATCCTTTTTTGTTGAGGAGCAGGTGCTAATTTCTTATGCTCAAGAGGGCATTGTCGGTTGTGTTGAACATGCTTTTTCAGTTTTCAACATGACTTGTGATGCAAAATAGATGTTACAGATTTTGCGAATCCGTTCAAGCAACGATGCATTTTTGTTACTCACTTAACATTCACCTAATTCTCAAAATATGTATTCCTACTCTATCAATATCATTTATCTTGACTGCACATGAAACTTGAACCTTGTCCTTGTTCCATACCTGCAACAAAATCTACAGATGAAGAGAGGCCAACTTTTGACTTCTCTTGCACAAACAAAGTGTGCTAACATTCTGACCAGCCATCTCCAGAGCACAGACACACATTAAATAAATCTTATATTGTTAAAAGCCTAAAAATTATATGACTATTTACAATCATTTACATTTATAAATTTTTTAAAATAATTTAATAACCAGTCAATTTTAAAGATTTAAATTTTTAATAGAGAACCCCCTTGTCAACAACTGTCAAACATTACCAAACACTCCCCCCCCCCCCCCCCCCCTTAAAAACTAAATTAAAAACATAATTTTCATAATATTTAAGATGTTAACAGATGTGAAAACTTATATAATATTTATTGTGTAGTTGCTCAAAATGAATAAATTACCTCCCATTCATCAGCATCGGTGAAAACAGGAACAGTCAATTCTTGTTTTTTAAAGAAATGCTGCGCATGTTCTGTAGCAATCACTTTGATTTCTGGCTTAATTTTGAAAGATACATTTTTTTATTTAATAACATTGTAGAGAGATCTTCTTTTAAAATATAAATAGTTTTTTTTTTAAAGTGGCAGAACTACTATTTGTGTAAGAAACGTATCCTTCAATTGAACAATGTTCTCATCCCTCTTATGCAGAAAAGCTAAAATATTTTGAAAATCCGATTTTAAATCTAACACACAAAAAATGTTATATTAATTAATCATTTTCAAGAAGTAAAATAATTCACCTTGGTTTCAGTGTCTTGAAGACTATTGATGAGAATGGGAATCTTTACAGATGCAACACTTCCAGTACATCCTATCAGTATATGTAATGGCTCCATTTGTAATGACTTTTATTTTTAAATTTATTTAGTTCGGTGTTAATGCTGTAGTAAAAGAAATACGAAATTTGTCAAAACAAGTTCTTGGAAGTTGACAAGCCAAACCTACATAAAGTTGGAAGTTGACAAGCCAACCTACATAAAGTTGGAAGCTGTAGCTTCTAAATGACCTGCTTAACTTGAATCATTACAAATATCATCATCAGTGGCACTATAGCCCATGTAGGCTCCTGTCCTGCTTCACCACATCTTTCCATTCGGATAGATCCATGGCTTTCTGTCTCCATACGTAGATCCCCAGCTGATGTAAGTCCTTCTCTACATCATCGATCCATCTCAGTCTTGGTCAACCGGTAAGCGATCTGCCCCTAAGTTTATGCCTGTAGATTACTTTTGCTGCTCTATGATCTGACATGCTCTCAAGGTGTACTTTTCAGTGAGTCCGACCCTTTTGATTACTGCAAATATGGATGGGTCTTCGAAAAATTGATACATCTCTTGCATTGTAAAAATTCTCCATCCATCATTGTCTTTAACTAGACTGTATATTTTTTGGAGGATTTTCTTCTCCCATGTATTGAGCAGGTTCTTTTGAACTTTTTTGGCAAGGGACCAAGTCTCACTGGCATACATTACTACTGCTGGTACTGGTCTTGTAAAATTGGTGCATATGGCCTTCTTTGATCATCTTGAGAGGTTTTTGCTGCTTAGTAGTTCTTGTAGGCCTTATTAAAAATAGCTGAGTCTAATATTGTGAGATCAACTATCCATACTAAAATCACAGGTGTCTTGCAAATTCTTAATCTAAGCAGATTTTGTGGTAATTTACATGTAAAGTGAAATCCTCTTCCTTGACAGATATTGCTGTCATCAAATAAACAGCTAAAATTTAGATTTCTTTAATTTGTTTTTACTTTTAAGAAAAATATTTAAAAGCGATTTTGATTGATTATTGTGACAAAAACATGTCTGGCAGCAGCTGCCCTATCACCATAATCAATGATAATCATATGGAAGGACAATAAATGGACTTGATCAAGCTGTACTTTTGTCACATATTTACAGACTGAAAATGCAACAGCTAGTTACTAGTTTGAGTTTGAGTGATTCCAAATCACTGTCAATGAGTGTCAAAGTCAAATGACCAAATGGCATAAGTCATAAGTTTCTTTTGAAATAAAAATGAAAGGAATTACATTATTGTTGAAAAATATGGCATTTTTGTTCTTAATTTGTGGAGAAATATTAAACTCACTGAGATAGCCAGAAATGTCCACCAAAGAAGCAACACAAACTACCCAGTCTTCTTTGACTTTACTTTTACTTTTAAATTTGCGAAACTCACACTTTCATTCATAATTACAATTTCATTGATCAACGAAGTGGATGCGTACACCGCGGCGGTGTACCTAGCGAAACCATAGGCTTTGGCCTGCGTAAGCCGCGGCGGTGTACCTAGTGAAATCGTGGGCTTTGGCCTGGGTACACCGCGGCAAAAATTTACCATTGGCCTGGTTTTAAGATATACTTATTAGAGAAGATCTTGTGTGGTCAAGTGGTAGGGTGGACGCTTGGCGATAATATAGTTTGAGATCAATTCACAGTAGGGGATCGAGGTTTTTTCCTCCCATTTTAGTTTTAAAATATTTTGTAACAATTTAAATATATGTTTAAATATTATATTTAATACGCAATATAAATATAAGTATTTCAACAAGTTGTGCCAGCCTTTGACTTTGAAAATATCGGTAAATTTAGAAAAAAGACTTTAGACATTTGAAAACAAACTCAAAGTTTCTGAAAGCGCATGTATAGTGTATGTAACATGTATAAGAGAAACATTATGAAGACTAAGTGATATTCTATTATATTTCAACATTCTTCATGTAGTTGAATATTTATATTTTACTTTTACGAACACCCAAAGAAAATACCAGTATGAATAATAATCATACCATATGAATATTAATGTCATTAATGTGCATGGTCGTATTTCAGCCTTGAACCATCTTGCTGTCACTATGCCTTATGTATTGGCAAAATGTACACACGATATCAAAGGTTCATTCGCAACACTCAGTCTCACAGCAAATCTTTTGAAAACACCTCGATTTTAGAAACTTGCGGAGCGATAGCAAACTGTATAGCAAGGCCATAGGTCTGCGTTTACCCTTTCCATGACGGACTTTGTTTCCAGAATGGCATGGCGTGTGCTATTCTCAGGGTAAAACACGACGTTTTCTCACAGAAACCATTGCACAATGGGTTTGGGACAGGATTTGCACTGTGTCAAAGTTTTTGTATTTGTTGTTGTTGTTTTTTTTGTTAAGAAATCGATCCTTTTCGGGGGGTGGGGGTGGTGATGAGTTATGGGCAGAGGCTTGACCAAAAAGGGGGCTACACAAATCTCGGCTCTGGATAGGGGTTGTCCACAAAGGACGTCCGCACAACAAACTTACCTTTTGCATCCCCCCCCCCTTTCAGCCCGCATTTTTTACTAACGTGTAATGCCAATGTAAAACTAAATCAATGCTATTTAATTATTGTTAAAAGACTTTCAAAAATCACTGCAGTGTTTCGTATTGATCATCTTACTGCTGGTTTGTGTTGACACACGCTTGGTATCACAATGACAATGCCTCGGACAACTTTAACTTCACGACTTCATGATTAATGTATGAGTATGTGATTCTCTTCCCGTAGTGTATTTTTGGCGTAATTATATCTTGGTTCTAACAAAATAGATTTACTGGCTTCCCATTCATTTTTACACCACGCCCCGAGGGATCACATACAATGTTATATTTATAATGCCCCCCCCCCAAAAAAAAACAAAAAAAAAACCACCAACAACAACAACTGGGTTTATTTTTGGCGTAATTATATCTTGGTTCTAACAAAATAGATTTACTGGGTTCCCATTCATTTTTACACCACGCCCCGAGGGATCACATACAATGTTATATTTATAATGCCCCCCCCCCAAAAAAAAACAAAAAAAAAACCACCAACAACAACAACTGGGTGGGGGGGGGGGCATGAGAGAATAATTTAAAATTAGCTCCCCTTTTTATGCCTATTAAGATTCACAATCATATAATAAAACTTACAACAATTAATAAAGATATTTGTATTTCAATATATTGGGGGAGGGGGGAATAAAGTGGTTAACTTTAAAAATGAATCATGGTTTAACATTACAGCCCCAGCCCCCCAGAGGCGTGCCGTGGTGGGGGCAGATTCCCCGGACGCCAGCTAGTTAGGGGCGCCAAAATGTACTTTGATATTATTTCATTGATGAAAATAATGGGTTTGAAAGTTGAAAAAAAGAAAAAGGGGAGCTAAAAATGGATCTTGTCCCCGGGCGCGAATCTTGTCCCCGGGTGCCAAACACCCTCGCTATGCCACTGCAGCCCCCCTGCCTTCCAAAAAATAAGAAGAAATGCTTTACATGTACTTTGCCACATAAGCGTGGAACTTACTCAATATCTTCCCAAAGTAATAAATGAATTTTAAATAGTTTTCAGTTTTAACACGAGTATAACATTAAATCTACAAGTACTGGTTAGGCCAAAAAGTTAAAGACTCGCAAAGACCATGGCTTTGCTACTTTAAATCGCTGCGGTGTACGCAGGCCACAGACCAATGATTAAGCTACGTACACCGCCGCGGTGTACGCAGGCCAAAGTCAATAGTTTAGCTAGGTACACCGCCGCGGTGTACGCAGGCCACAGATCAATGATTAAGCTACGTACACCGCCTCGGTGTACGCAGACCAAAGTCAATAGTTAAGCTAGGTACACCGCCGCGGTGTACGCAGGCCAAAGTCAATAGTTAAGCTAGGTACACCGCCGCGGTGTACGTAGTGCCGGCCTTGATCATACCATCATTGTCTAAATTCTAAATACTAAATACGCGACGTAAATATGAAAATTATTTGAATTAGGCCTATTCTAAATTATTTATAAAATATTAAAACAACAAATGGCTATTGTTGAGACTAATACCCATGACGTCATTTGCGTGTTTAATAAATATTTGTGCATGAGCTATTCCCCTTTATTCATTTTATAATTGGCGGAAGTGATGATGACGTGTTTCCTATTAAAATTTTAATTGGTTGATTATTTATAATTTTAAAATATCATTGGTCGTACATTTTAACCACTTTTTTTGGAGAGTCTTTTTGGAAGAAATGGCCGACGTGGAAGGCAAAAGTAGTGAAAACATTTTATATGACTTGTCTGTGCTTTCTGAGTGGAGATATGACAACGAACTCTTTGTAAGCTTGTTATTTGTTGAGCGATTCTAGATAATGGAATATTTTCACCGGTACAAATTTCTTGAATACAAATGTGACATATTTAGTCTAAAAGACATAGTAAAGTGAAAGTGAAGACAATGTACTGTACAGTAAATTAAATTGAGTAAAAAGTAAAAGTAATTTATACTATTTCTAGTTTGTAAAAGTGAAAGTAAAGGTATAGTAAGTAAAGTCTATTATTATTTCTGGAGGTTAGGCTAAATACAACTAACTGTAACTGGTTCTGGGTTCTTAACTTAAACAGTAAACTAAACTCAACTATATTGACTAATAATACCTACTTTTGTTGTGTAAAAGGTCACATTCTTCATTCACCTATCATGGCAAACAAGGTGTTAGCGGGGTAAAAAACAACAACATGTCTGCTAAAATTTTGAGGGGAAAGGGAGAGAATGTGCTGGTTTAGCTATTTACAGAGTCAGAGAGAAACGAAAATAAGAACAAAGCATTAAAATTTAATTAAATAATTTTAGCCAGAAGCCAACATAAAATGTTGTTATTTGTTCCAGATTCGTAATAGCCGTGAAAAAACCAATGCATCACTAATTGGAAGAACTTCATCATTGGTGAGACGTGAGTATATTATTTTGTTGTTTTGCCTAAATACTCTATTGTAACTTTTTTTTTTTTTAGTTTGGTCTGTTGCCAAGTTTTAAAATGATACTTTCATTATTATCAGACTTATTGAATTCCAGAAAATTTCTTCAGTCTTTTGTCTTTTGTAGCGCTGTTGAACATCATTTACTCTTACAACATAACCAATAAAATAAGGGCAAATGTCTTGTTTTCAACATTAAACAATCATTGCATTCACTATGGAGAACCATTAAAACACATTAAGGCTAGGACTATACAATGATGTTTATTTAACCAGAAATTAGGGAAAAATAACAACAAGTCTAATAGGTTTCACCATGTCAACTTGTTTAGAGTCTTAAATTTTTGGATTCAGGCTTTAGACATTAATTAAAACTCATTTATTTAGCATCATGATACTCATTAAAGATTTATTCTTGGAAAGTAAAAAATATATCTTTTAAATATAGTCCAGAAATCTGCCTATGTATTCCTTAGTTGGCTATTTATTCAATCATTTGTATGATTTATGTTTTTACGTCATTAAAAAAAGTTAACATTTTATTTGAAAAAAAAAAGCCGGAAGGCTGTTCATTAACGCTTTCGCTGCAACGCAATGCACAGTGCATTCGTCTGCCACTCTATAAGCACGGACCAATGGGCTCTGCATTGTTTCAATATCATCTTTGTTTCTTTGCTATTTCTCCGTTAAACTTTTTTAGAGCTATTTTAAAATAAGACTTTTACATAGCAGAGGGGTACTTAATTGTTTATAAGCAAAACCAAGGTTTATTTGTTGTCATTTGAAGCATTGTTTTAATAGTTTTCTTTGCTATGGCTACCCTAGACCCTAGTAGGTGGGAAAGTTTTCTAGACAATTAACAGCTGAGAAAGCTTTGGAATTGTTTTATACTATTTCTTTTGATAGTGAAGATGATTTATATTTAGATCCATCGCCTGATTCCGATAGTTGTAGTTTTAGAGGATTTGAGTTATAGAAGTGAAGATGAGGAATGCGTACATCATAGGGTTTGGAGAAAAATGGTTTTGCACATAATGTTTTCACATTTTATGGTTCTTTTCTGTTACTTATTTGATTTAAACTGAAGGAATAAGGTTACAAACATATAGTCCATTCAGTTATCTTTCATTTGATACCAAGTTTAGTCTCTTAAAACAAACAATAATATTTTAAATATTTTTTAATAAACGCAACCTCTCACTCTTTTTCACTCTTGTAAAAAGATGTTGATAAAAAAATTCCGCAGCGAAAGAGTTAAACTAAAGTGATGAGAAAATATTTGCTTTAAAAAAAAAATATTTAGATCTTTTGAATCTTTGTAACAAAGTGAAGTAGATCATCCAGAATTGTCTGATGATTTATGTGAATGACTCCCAAAGGAAGATTATATCAAATTAAATTTTGCATAGCATATTTTATATCATTAATGTATTTGATATAATAATCACAATATGAATGTTAATAAGAAGTGTTGTATCTTCACAGGTACATCATGGACCTTCTTACGAAGTGTTGGTATAGCCGTGCAGTAAGTATAAATTCAAACATATTCTTTTGGAAGCTGGTCACTACATGTTTATGCCATCCATAAATGATGTCGCACGGGGGGGGGGGGGGGGGGGGGGGGGGATCAGATTTTTGTAACGATGTTTGACGAGGGGAAGGGGGCTTAAGCAATGTGACGTCACATGAAATGTGGAATATTGTGGTAAGGAATTGGGCTTAAATTACAGACATTCTTAACATTATTCTTTTATAAAACAATAATTATAATTATTTTATTTTTAAACTACAATCACTGAGAGAATCAGTACAGGTATGCTAGGTCAGAAAAATGACATCTGATTAAGTTACAGGACGCCACGATGGAGGAGAATCGGGATGTAGTTACAATGACAGGCGTGAGAATTTATGATTAAATGTGGACATGGGAGTGATACTATTAGGACTACCAAGTGAAGTGTGATGGAAGGAAAAAAAAGGTTGACAGGGGGCGCGGGTGGGGGGGGGGTATCTTAGTAAATGATCTAGGGCGGGGATTCTTAACCTTTTTTGCAACGTTGCAGGCCCACTCCGTTTTAAACACCCCCTTCCCCTGTAAATAGTAAATACGCAATTTTTCAATTTGGTGTCACCCCCTGAGGTCCACACTTTGCACCCCACTAGCTATGCCTCTGAAAACAATTTTCTGGTCTTCCACACCTCAGGGCTGGGGAGGTACTCAATTTTCTGGTCTTCCACACCTCAGGGCTGGGGAGGTACTTTTACCCTTGGTTAAGAACGACTGCTCTAGTGAAATGTTTCTGACACAGGTGCAACAATTTGATATCCTTGGGAGGCTAATTTCTTAAGGATTTGTAAAGGACAGTAGTGGACATAGGGACTTTTTGTAAGGGGGGGGGGGGGGGGGGAGATTTGTGATATTATTTTTGGGGGGGGGGGCAAATTTTTTGTGACATTATATTTGAGCGGGAGGTCAAATTTTTTGTGACAAGGGGGGGGGGGTTAAAAAAATCATGAACATTTGCGTGACGTCATTTATGGATGGCCCCTAGGCCCTTTAGAGGAAATAATCTTCACAGTGGAGAGTATTTCACAAGGCCTAGGATTTCATTGAATATATTTGCTTTGGTTATTTTAGTCAAATCTCTTTAATCAGAATAGTGTCATTCATTAAAATATATTGTTTTAAACTAACAAAATTTTAAAAAACAATATCTGAAGAACAATAAGTATGAGAGATTGAAATTTAAAGGTAATCTCTTCTTCTTTCTTTAAGCAAAAAAAACTGTTTTTAATACTTTTAAAGCCTCACATTTTGTATACATTTTTTCATCTTCTGTTTGTGTAGGATGCCAACACCTTGTATTTTACCAGAGCAGCTGGTAAAACTTAGAAGTAGTCAAATTGCTTGGAAAATTGCGGTCAGCAGGTTTGTTATTAAGATAAAGGACATTAGCCTTCTTATGTTAGTATAGGGAATTCTCAGATGTTTAATTTGAGAGCCGTTTATAGGGCAAATTTATAAATAGTCTAACTAGTTTACCAATCCCTTGATTTTATTTTTTGGTCAACAACATTACACACAAACAACTTCCAGATGAATTTATTTTAAAAGAATAGTCAAAGAAATAAGTAATTTGAGTAGACATTGCAATCCAACTTGAATCCATTCGTTTTCTAAGACAATTTTTCCCCTTTAGACCTGGATTAGTCCAACACTAGTCCCTCAAAATATGGATCCCAGTCCTTTTCTTAAAGTTCTCAAACCACCTCCTCCTTTTTTTTAGCACTAGTACCAGGCATGCCTATCACTAAATCACCGCGAATGACCTTGGTTTTCTGAAAAATTACTGTCTCAGAAATCACATAAGCCAGCCAGCTGTTTTTCTTCATCAAAATAATGAAATTTTTCCACTTTTTGATCTTTTAGAGGTCAGTGTCATAACCCATTTACCCACATCAGCTTCTTTGACAGCTTCTTCTTTTTTTTTTTAAATCGTACAAGTTAGGCATCCCAACGTAGTAGCTAAATCATCCATACGTATCATGATTTCATGCTCTATGATAAGATCTTTCTAAACTGCAATGTTAACACTAGCAGCTTTCCCCTTACTCTTATTTTCCTCACTACACTTTTTAGGATCCATGATGAATACACTTATTATATAAAACATAACACAAAATAGGTGTAAAAGCAGTGAAATCACACAAGATGCTTTCAATGCAGCCTCTGACAATGAAGTGAATTGCAAAGTGTATGATTGCCGGTTGACCCAAGTGCTGAGGAAGCACATTTCGAGCAAATATTTGCTGAAATTTCTATTCTGATTTCAAGTTGTTAAAGTTCTGATGATTTCAAATCCCAAGGTCCCACCATATTTATTTAAACCTTTGACATTTAAATTATTTTACTTTGGTGGTCATTAGCTCTTTATATTCTTTTTTCAGCTTGGGTAACTTTGTTGCCATTTTACAAGAAAATGGCATAGAAATCAGGTAAAAGAAAAATTATTAATATTCTTTTAAGGGAAATAATTTTTAAAATTATGGTGCATGATTTTATTTTTAAATAGTCACGTTTAATCAACAATGTGAAGTTTATAAATTGTTAAGCTATTCAAATGATAAACTTAACTAGACTCCTGGAAATCAAAGTGTGTCCTTATTTGCGAATTAGAATATTAAACATCGAGAAGGAAGATTTAAAAAAAATGCTTATTTTATGAAGGACTCAACGTGACAATCTAGAAAGTGTATTTGGACGGAATAGCTGTTTTCAAGATCCGTGTCCTCAGTGGCGCTGTGTGGTTTGGAGTGAAGATGAAACCATATTGGCATGCAGTCAAAGTAATGGAGCAGTGGATTTTTTTGATATACTTGGCTCTCTCCTGTTTACCATTCCAGGTGTAAGTGGATACTCTTATTTTTACAGTTTCAACATTTTTGAGCATTTTCTTTTGTGAATTCATGTTTTTAGGAGTAAAGCAAAATCTAAAATCTACTTGTGTTTGCGGATAATTTTAAGCTTTATCACCAAATAACCCTCTTATATTTAGATTTACTAGTAACTTTTTGATTGAAACAAAATATAATGGGGAAAAGCAAAAACTTATTGCACATTACAGCTGATGGTACTTAAATGATTTAACATTAATTGAAAGATGTTATTCTGTTACGCAGCCCTGAGAAAGCTGCTCCTAGGCAACTGTTTTGTCCCAGCTACTTCGCAAACTAGTTGCGGGGTGGAAACCCACTGTAGAACTCCTCTTGGAAGGCATCCGACGCTTTCCCGGGATGGGTGTAGGAAAATATTTGGAAGTAAATTTACCATCCCGACTCCTAGGAAAGTCGATCGTGTGCACTGTGTGTATGCACAATGTCGGACCGACCAGGTGTCCTTGGGTTGGGGCGGCTTCCAGCGGAACCTGATCGAGCGGACTCGGGTGGGGGCTGTCCTGGCAAAGGGACATCTCCAATGTGCCGCTTCGAGGCCCGGTACTCGGGCTTAGGGGAAGTGCTTTGGGGAGGGCATAAAGAGCAATGCGTGACGGTCCGCTGATGCCTTTCCTAATGTGACATATTATGTTATTAACAATATGTCTTTCTAATTCATTTATCAGGTGTTTGATGATGGAGTGACTCCTACAGACTTGAGTGATGGAGTTGCAGCCCTTATTTTCACTGATTTCAAGCAAGATAATGATTGGTTATAATTTTTTTTAATTACAACAGTAATTGTATAATTCACTGTTACTGTCACACTTTTTTTCTCACTTTTTCTATTCATCTTTATTGTATTTGATGAGAGTTAACTAATTAATATAAGAGTGAATTTTTTAAAGATCTTATTTGGTCTTCCTCTTCTTATATATATTAAGGGCGCACAATCAATTTATTGATCATTTTGGATCCTATGCATGTGGAGGGGATTTGCAATGTTTCTGTGCCTGGTGTTGATGAGGATATTTCACTGGTTGCAAATAATTTACCTTAAATAATAACACTGGTCTTTTTAACCAACCCTCATTTTATAAAAATGTTTAATTTCCCATACAAATGAAAACATAACTTGGAATTTCTTAAACAGATTTAAACGCCATTTAATAAAAAGCTGCAACATTTTTTATTATCCACTTTAAAATTTTAAGTTGACCCAATTTGACCCAATTATTAAAAGAAAATTATAATTTTTCAATAGGACCTATGAACTGTTGGTCATCAATTATCATGGATCTATGTCTAGTTACTTGGTGCACCAGGATAATGGATACAAATTACGATACAAGTTTACTTTTACAACAGAGTATCCAAGGGGAATAAGTTCTGCCACTTACAATTCAAAACACAAAATACTATTTGTTGGGGGCGCTTGTCTGCCAGATTCTCTTCTCAGTTCTTCAAAAGCTTCACTAGAAGGAATTTCTGCCTGGAGGCTTCTTTCAGATGCTCCTTATTGTAAGCTCATTACAGACTATCATGAGGATAAGCAGAAGGTACAAAGAGCATGGGTGCAAAGATTAGAGAATGTTAATAGCTAATGTAGAATACAAGATAGACAATTTTTATAATGTGGACAAGCTTCCACAATAATAAACATTTTTAGCTACCTGAAGCTCCTGGCCCTATAGCTATATGTAACAATATTTTTGCTTGTTTAAACTCACAATGTTCCTTGATGGAATTTAATTAAAAATTTGACATTTTTAGTGTTCATAAATGAAAAATCTTGTGAATTGCACTATTTGCTAAAAACTTACTTTTCAGAATTTTATTATAGAGAAGATGACGTCTTCAGACTGACAAAACACCTTCATTTTTATTCTAGGCAAAAGCAAAAGTTTCATTTCTTTCCAAACTGAAAGTATCTTATGGTTGGAACAATGTCCCAAAGGTACATTTAAAAAAAATAATATTTGCATAAACTGTTTTAAAAGAGGATATTGAACTATTGATCTATGTATGCTTTCAGAAAGCTACATTTTATTATTTTAACTCTTATTTGTTTACATGAAAATCCTATAAAACAAATGTTAGCTTGGCTTTTATTAAGATGTTTTTGTCTGTTTAAATGGGCTACTTATGGAAACAAATTTCTCCCTCAGGATGGAATATTTCACTTATGTTTGTCTCCTTGTGCAACAATGCTCGTGTCCATTCACTTCTCTGGCAAACTTTCACTGTGGGATGTACCTTCACTCAGATTGAGACATCAGTTTAAGCAATATGATCAGGTAGTCAACGCTTTTGTCATTTGTAAAATATGACAGAAAACATACATATTCAGTGTTGAACCATCATCTAACAGGAAATCTTGTGTTTCCTAAGAATTAAATAATTTTTGGAAAGACACATTCTTTTATATCATCTTAATGGATGTTAAACAATAAACAGATTAGCTATTATTGTTTGAAAATGTAGCTAGTTATATGGGCAATCATTGTAAATAATATTGTGGATTTCCATAGCTCGAAAGCTAAATCGTGATAGTCCTAAAATTTATAGCAATGTGCGAGATCATTGAACAAAAAGCTGTCATTCAGCTGTCATCAAAAAGCAAAAAAAAGTTTTATGAGAATAATTTGTCTTTCAGCCAGGATGGGATGAAATAAGCCCGGAACTACTGGAAAATCCAACGAAAAAAAAGAAGATTAAAGGTTAGTACAAATTTAAACTAATATCTTATTCTCTAATTTCTTCCAAAATAATGGGTTAGAAACTTATTGAACTGTTTACATAGGCATGCACTCATTTATTATAGTTGGAGAGCAAAGCCATGTCATGTTTTAAATTGCATTATAAGAATAAAAAAGTCTTAAAATTGTGGAATCTCAGTCAGTGCACAATCTCAGGGGGCGGCATATGCCTATGACTGTTGACTTTATAATTTTTACCTTTTTAAGTACATTACATGTTACACATTGTTACCCTTATGTTAAATTGTGAAACTCTTGATATTATTCTTTTGCAGATTTAATTCCACACAAACAACTGCTTGATGTCAATTTCTGGTCTGATGATGTAAGTTATATTTGAATAAACTATAAGTTCACAAATGATCCTACCTGATTTTTATTTCTTGCTTCACTTTCAGCAGTTTTCTTGAGCATAAGGATTTGATTTAGAATGTTACATCCCCTTTAAGTTTCTCATTGCTTGCATAGAATGTTTTTATATTTTCTAACAAATCGTTGAAATGATTCTATTTCCAAGTATTTGGGGAATCTTAAGAGAAACGAGACACTTACTTTGCTCTCATTGTGTTCCAGCTCTTGATCCTGGCTCGATGTACTGGAGCAGTGAGTGTTGTTTCATGTGAGGATCTTCACAACCTTCTTGGGGCATCCCCAGAGTGGTATGAACCATCACCTCAGTTGACACCTGCACTAAATGGAGGATTCCTGGGTTTAGAGGTGTGACTTCCCATCTTTTCCTTTTACGCTTTTAATAAAATTGAACTTAAGTGTAATATAAAAAGATAAATGCAATTTTTACTTATATTCTTGTTTGTGGGTGGCAGTTTTCTTGTCGGCTTTACTTGGCAGGCAAGAATTTTAAAAAAATTATGGAAATGTTTTTTAATTTTCAAGTGTGAAATTCGATTCCCCAACAAACGTATTGTGATGACTGGCCCCGATGACGACGATAGTGAGGAAGAGGCTCCTTCTATTATGGCTCAGACAACAGCAATCTCCAAACAGGTGCTCTACTACCTGACTGACAGTGAACATTTTCAACCTCCAAAGAAGAAGCCCAGGTAAGCTTAGTTCTATATCAAAGTGTTAGACGTTCCTAGCTAAGCTCTTTTACTATTTTGTAGAAGATCAGAGCATTCTTTCATAACGTTTAACAAATGTGTTTGTCTTTAGCTACAAAATGCAATGCATTTATAGAATGCAACCTATTGTGATTACTGGATTAGCTCAAATTTTGTTAAATAAACTCGTCATTGAGAAACTATCAATCAAATAAGCATAGTACAATGTGAGTTTGATGTTAAGTTAATGCATGCTATATACATATATAAAAGAGTGTTGTCAATACTTTGGACATGGTGTTGGTATTTGTTTGTCAATACTTTACATTTGGTTTATTTTCCTATCATTATTCAATGTATGTACTTTTTTTTTTGTTGACTTAGATATGTCACAAAGGTCTATAGAGTGGTTTCTCTAAAGTCTACTACACCTGAAGAGCTTTATGCCAGAAAGGTAAAATGTATTGAAATAAAAACATTTGTTCAAACCTACTATAATCATTGTTAGAACCCGAAGACTTTTGTTTTTGAAAATGCATTAGAATTAACTTTGTAAGTACGCTTCAAATAATATTTGTAAAGACCATAGTTTTACAGCTACTGTTTTTCATTACAACTTTTGGTATGGTTTTTAAATGCATCATGAATTGATTTTAAAAACAAATTTTTTTGGTGTCCAACCTTCTTCTATTTTGATTTTTACTATTTATTGTTCAGATTGAAGCGGAAGAGTATGGTGAAGCTTTAACTCTGGCACAGGCATACAAACTTGACTGTGATCTGGTTTACCAAAGACAGTGGCGTAAGTCTCCAGTGACACGAGCATCCATTGAGGACTACTTGGTCAGTGATTTTTAAATAATAAATATTCCATTATCTAATTTGTCTTTATTATTAGCAAAATAGAAATATTTTTTTACTCACGATTGACATATGATTTTATGCTAATAATACCTAAGCGCATCACTTATTAAATTTAGCACAATATATTTATTAAAATTTGTTGTCAGGGTAGTACTTTAACTGCAGTTTTATGGGTACTACTTTAACTGCAGTTTTATGGGTACTAATTTAACTGCAGTTTTATGGGTACTACTTTAACTGCAGTTTTATGGGTACTACTTTAACTGCATTTTTATGGGTACTACTTTAACTGCAGTTTTATGGGTACTACTTTAACTGCATTTTTATGGGTACTACTTTAACTGCAGTTTTATGGGTACTACTTTTAAGATATTGATTTTATTTGATAGTTTCAAACAGTAAATTAAGTTAAAGCCTGAGTTTTCAAAAGCTGAGATAATGACAAATGTCTGAAATATAGTTCCCTTATTTTTTATCAGGCTAAGATAAGCAAACGCTCTTGGGTTCTACATGAGTGTTTGGAACGTGTTCCTGAGAATATAGATGCCATGAGAGAACTGATGGAGTATGGGCTTCAAGGCACAGACTTACAGGCACTTGTTGCAGTGGGCAAAGGAGAGGATGCTGGGAGGTTGGTCATTTAGACAGTAGTAGTTCTTTACAGCTTGGTTTATATGACTTCACACTTCAATAGATTACTTTCCCCAATATTGATCTGTGGAACATGGTTGTGATCTACAGGCCTTTTTATTTTAAAAAATAATTTTTTGTGTTGATATACCTCTTTTATGAAGCCACTTAGCAAAATTATTTGCACCAACTACTGTTTGTGCAAGTATTAGCTACAATCAAAATTGATATGGGACGATATAAACAACTTAATAATAATGTTTTACCTTAGATTTCTCCTCTGTGATCCTGATGAAGGGCTTTATGAAGATGTTTATGATGTCTTCGATCCTAATTCCTTAGCTGAGAAAGAGAGGAAGCGAGCTCAGATAAGACAATCCTACCTGGATCAAGTTGATTTTAAAAAGTAAGACAGGTCTCTTCTTTCAAATCAGTAACAAGAGGTGAATAGTTAAGTGAATGTTTGTAAAAAGTAACAAACAGATCCAGAGTGTAAGTAAGCTGTCAAATACTACTTATTGTTAGTTAAATATAACAGATCATATTATGAACATTTATCATTCTTAAAGTGCAACAAGTTGACTAATTTGTGTCTTTAAAAAAAGGTACCATTTCTGTGTGGCACAAAGTTAAATAAAAACATTATTTTACAGTCTCAACCTGGAGCAAAAAGAAATATGCAGATCACGTCTTAAGTTTTTGGTCTACTTGGACAGACTAAAAACATATGAGGTGTGTAAATTATAATCAGTGTGAGAGGTTGAAATCATGAGTTGAAGACTAAGAAAGCAAGGTGGCTGCTAATAGTTTCTGTTCAGAAAAGACTAATGTGCATTGACCAGCATTTATTTTTACAAAACCATTGCATGCCATCAGATTAATCATATAAAGTCATGAAATTGAAATGTAATATCTGAAGAAACAAAATGAAACATACCTGCCATTTCTTTGCAGTTAATTCTTGGGGGAATGAGTGCTGCAGTGGAGAGGTACAATGCTGAATTTTTTGCCTCTTTTCGCACCAGAAACATATTTGAACTAACAACAGAGTATGCTCAGGTATAATGTTATTTTGATATTCAAGTGTGGGTAATGACAAGATATTTTAAAACAAAGTTTTACCTCTGTGTTCTTTTACCAGTGTGTTCACATGTGTATCACTAGATTTTGATATAAATGATTAAATTTTGAAGTAAAAATGATTTCTGTGGGAATTCATTACATGGATGGAATATTTTATTTAAATTCTAATGCAGTAAAAATTTCCTTAATTAAATGCTGCTCCTTACACACACAAAAAAAGCCACAAATTTAAAAAAATGTAAACTTAAATGGTATGTTACGAAATTTTAATATTTAGTTATAAAGTTATAGTACTTTGTAAGAAGGAATATTTTGAAAAAAGCTGGTCTTTATTATTTCAGAACAATGATTGGAAGGCTGTTGACATAATTTTAGTATACCATAACAATGAGCTGGCCCCACACAGGTTTGTACATATAATAATACAAGTTAAAATTCTCTACAAGCGTAAAATTTATTTAATAATTTTACATGGTACTGTGATAATGAATCTCTAACATAGACACAGGGTTTGCACAGTCTTTGAAGGTTTGGGGAAAAATAAATATTTCTAGGGCCCAGAAAGTTTGGGAAAGTTGGCAAAAGTCATGGTCTTTGAAGGTTTTAGGGAAATTATTTTTAAAATAAACAGCTGGAAAAAAATTTGACCAAAAGAAAAAGAAAATCAGTTTAAATGACATGCACTGAAAAATTCCATTTAACTGATTTTATTAAGCCAATCAATTAATCTTATCAAGGGTAATAAGGGGAGAGGCTGCAATTAGGTTAGCACAATATAAAAATGAGTAAAACAGAGTAGGGTTAAACCTGAAAAAAGAAACGTAATCAAAACAACAAAAGTGTTGGCAGAAAGCCTTCGTTAGCGAACGAAACAACAGAAAAAACGGTATAAAATTAAAAATAAGAAATAGCACTTAGCTTGGAAGTAGTAAAGGTGGGCCGCAAAAGAAATGGCCCACGGATACTACTTCCAAGCTAAGTGCTATTTCTTATTTTTACTTTTAAACCTTTTTTTCTATTGTTTCGTTCGCTGACGAAGGCTTTCTGCCAACACTTTCTTTGTTTTGATTACGTTTCTTTTTTCAGGTTTAACCCTACTCTGTTTTACTCATTTTATAATCTTAACAAGTGAGCTATTGTATATTAATAGCGCCTTTTTTGACTAGGCAGCAGTTCTACGCGTTCTTTGGTAAAATATTTTGGCATTTGTTAACATTTTCTATTTGGATCATCGACACATGTGTTTTCTATTGAATTCCTTTAAATCTGTTGAAAAATTTACAATATTTAATATGTAAAGAGTTTGCTATTTTAATGATATATGGCTCGATAAGTCAAAATACAAGTTTTGGCTTAAAAAAGGAATTAGATGACAAGAGGAAAGTCTATTGCCATTACGATTGTTTGAAAAAAAACATTGATATCAATGGGTGAAGGAACACTGAACAGCCATTCAAATGGTAAGCCATTGTAACTTAAACCTATTTATCATTTCATTTAGAAAATTATTTTAATGAGTCTTTTCAGGTTTATTTTCTATAATTATTTAATTAAGCTACTAATTTGGCTACCACAAATTATTTTAATCAGACTTAAGGCTGCCAGTTAATTTTAAAATGAGATTAATTTAAATACAACTAATAATGCCACCACTGTACCATCAGCCACCTGGTCCTCTTAAGGACAGGGATCAACAGGAAAACCTGTTGATATTCAATCCTTCTGCAATAGATGGAAGTGCTTACAGCTGAAATCATTTGGGCGAGGAAGCGTCTAACTATCACAGCTTCAGTTCTTCCAAAGACACTACAGATTGTTTCAAGGCTGTTTATTACTTGTGAAATTGTACAACAGTTTGTATGTGCTGATAGGAATTCTGAATATCTCAGCATTTTTGGTATAATATCCTTCTTTGCTAATATGCTTTTAAAAATAATAAGAGCTGCTTCTACGTATGTTTGATGAAACAATGAACAAACAGATGCAGGAAAAGAAAATGGATAGTTATGCTTGGAACTGGACTTTAAATAAAGTTAGTTAATTTTTCCATTCGTCTGGACGTGCTACCGCTAAAAGCTTGTAGGAAAAATTCAGTCCAGCTATCACAGACCTTGGACACAAGAACTTTTTACAACTGTCTATGGATGGCCCTGTCCAATTATCACAGACCTTGGACACAAGAACTTTTTACAACTGTCTATGGATGGCCCTGTCCAATTATCACAGACCTTGGACACAAGAACTTTTTACAACTGTCTATGGATGGCCCTGTCGAATTATCACAGACCTTGGACACAAGAACTTTTTACAACTGTCTATGGATGGCCCTGTCCAATTATCACAGACCTTGGACACAAGAACTTTTTACAACTGTCTATGGATGGCCCTGTCCAATTATCACAGACCTTGGACACAAGAACTTTTTACAACTGTCTATGGATGGCCCTGTCCAATTATCACAGACCTTGGACACAAGAACTTTTTACAACTGTCTATGGATGGCCCTGTCCAATTATCACAGACCTTGGACACAAGAACTTTTTGCAACTGTCTTTGGACGGCCCCGTCCAATTATCACAGACCTTGGACACAAGAACTTTTTACATCTTTCTAGCGATGGCCCTGTCCAATTATCACAGACCTTGGATGCAAGAACTTTTTACATCTTTCTAGGGATTGCCCTGCAGTGAACTGTAACCTGTTTCACATGTTAGAAATAGAAACTGAACCATCTGGGCCATTTAAGCAGTTAAACATGGGGAGTTTGGCGGTTCAATACTTTACTCAAATTTTTCTGTAATGGATGCACTGCAGCCTCCTGGAACATAGAAAATGTTCTTCAGTATGTATAACCTTTTTCATGATAGTCCTGCTAAGGGGAAGATTTTATAACCATCACAGATACTGGTGTATTTCAACTGAAGTATTGCAAGCTCAGGCAATATTTAAAAACATTTCATTCATAAAGCTGCTGTGATAATTTCAATTTATTTTAGCAAAATAGAATATATATATTCCTATTAAATAATTTAATCTTTTATTTTGACATTCTAACAAAGTTTTTATTAATAAACACAGGTGCCCTGAAAAAATATTGAGCCAGCTGAAAGAGCTATCCTGATGATGCCAAATATTGAGCCAGCTAAAAGAGCTATCCTGATGATTCCAAATATTGAGCCAGCTAAAAGAGCTATCCTGATGATGCCAAATATTGAGCCGGCTGAAAGAGCTATCCTGATGATGCCAAATATTGAGCCAGCTAAAAGAGCTATCCTGTTGATGTCAAATATTGAGCCAGCTAAAAGAGCTATCCTGATGATGCCAAATATTGAGCCAGCTAAAAGAGCTATCCTGATGATGCCAAATATTGAGCCAGCTAAAAGAGCTATCCTGATGATGCCAAATATTGAGCCAGCTAAAAGAGCTATCCTGATGATGCCAAATATTGAGCCAGCTAAAAGAGCTATCCTGATGATGCCAAATATTGAGCCAGCTAACTAGTAGTGTTAATATTGGCGGCCAAATCTGTCACAGCTATGACAAGCTTAGATTTTTTAGAGAAAAAAAATAATCACCATGGACACCAGCAAAATGAATGTTGCATTTTCTACCCCCAAGTTTTTGCTAAGCAAAGAAATAGCAATCAGATGGACAAAATCTTCAGTTTTAAATCAGAGTGAAAGGCATTTTTAATTGTTGCTTTAAAGAAGATAATGGAAAATTTGCTATTATTTACACACTAGTGTGGAATATGTCCTGGCTGGACCCAAGGCTCATGATGTCTGAAAAAGACAAACTGAATGGAAAAACTTAATTGACCAGAATCCTCAGAGTGATGTGTGAAGCAAAAACGAGTTGAAGAATTTGAGTGTGACGCCATCTTGACTCAGTAGGCAAATATGTTAAGTCCATCATCACAGCCAAATATTTAGAACACAGAAATTTCTCCCCTTCTGAAAGCAGGGTTAATGCATTTTTCTACTCAGATTAGGATTTCCACACTAAAAAGGAGTTTTCTGAGCTGTGGATTATTGTTCAGAAACTCATTTTGTTATGCATGGCGCGGCTACAGCAGAAATAGGGTTCTAATGTGAATAAAGAGATCACTGTCAAAAATGTAAACATTGAGAGTCTCTGTGCTCAAAGACTGATCATTGATCAAGTCCGAAGTGCTGAGAGTCTCTGTGCTCAAAGACTGATCATTGATCAAGTCCGAAGTGCTGAGAGTCTCTGTGCCCAAAGACTGATCATTGATCAAGTCAGAAGTGCTGGGAGACCTCATAAAGTTCCCATAACAAAAGAGTTGTTGAATTTTGTTTCATCGTCAAGAATGAAATATACTTTGCATCTGGAAGAGCAGAAAGAAGAAAAATATATTCTGCTTGAGTAAAAAAAAAAAGAAAGCTTGAGATAGATGAAGTGCAGGAGTTGAAATTCCCCAAAAAAATCTTTTGAGGCAGGTGTAGCTAATCTAGTTACCTTAGCCAATAGCAAAGCCAAAGAGGCTGAACTTAAAAGAGACTTTTCTTTTATCTGCGCTTTAAATGCATTACAAGAAAAGTCAGATAAGAAGAAGGAAGTCCTTAAACTCCAAAAACTTATTGCTGAAAAAGAGGGAGGCCTACATTAAAAAAAAAAGTGAATTATTTTTAATGCATTTAATGGTGTATTATTTGTGTAAATATTAAATGGTGTATTATTTGTGTTCATATTGAATGGACCGTTAGAATATGTAACAATCTAAACACAATTTTTTCAAAGCCACTGGATACAACTGGGCAGCCAGGACATCTTTGTGATAGTATGTATGACCGAAGATTGTTATTTTGAGTAGTGAGTAAACTTTGTGACCTGATTGGCCTGTGTTGTTATGTGGTATGACTGGAGGTGGTGAGTTGTTTTTATTCATGAATTTTTTAACTTAAAGGCGTGGAAAAGTGGAATGAGTGATCATGAATGTGGAGTATAAAAAGAGTGGATGAAAAGGAATAAAGATCAGTAGTTAACTGAACACAGATGAGTTGACATCATTCATTACTATTACAAATTTAAAATATTTTGTCTTGGGGATATTTCCTAATTAGTCTGTGCCTGATGATTCATCATGATTACTATGTTTCTGTGCCTTACTTTTGTCTTGTATGTCTACAAGTATTACCTGGCTATGTATATATTGTATATACTTGTGTGTTTTATCTCTCAAAGGATAAGCTGGCTATAATGTATATATTGTATGTACTTAAGTGTGTATCTCTACAAGGATTAGCTGGCTATTATTTATATATAGCTAATACTTTTAGTGTGATAAAGAATTTTGTATCTATGTTATAATTAGATGAGTTGTTTTTTCCTCCATTGAATATGATAATAAATAAGTCTTTGAATTTAAAAAAAAGTCTTTGAAGGTTTGTGAAAAGTTTGTGAAGTCTGCATGATCCCTGTTACAAAAGTTATTTATGTTCATAATGGATCTAATTGGTTTATTTTTTTTGGTTTCATTCTCATGCAGGAATTTAATATATTTTTATTATATATATATCCTGTTTCATAATAAAACATAACTATGCAAGACATGATATAAGATAATAAGTGATTTAACTGTAGTTACTTTTTTGAGTTAGTTGGTTATTTTCATGTGAGAGCAAGAGAGTTGAAGCCGTATTTAAAATGTTACCCTCACAAGGATCTGTTTGATTTCTTATACAGACTGGCCATCTTGTCCAACTTCCCAGAAACAGCTGACCCAGTAGAATACAAAAGCCTTCTTCCTAAATCAGGGTGACTTATTGTGTTTGATTCATTGCCTACATTTTTTAAAATGAAGCTGTCTTAGCAGATTAGTTGAACTTAGTTTAATTTATTATTGTTACTTCTTCATCTGTGTTTGTCAAGAGGTCTAATTTGAGTACTGCTGTTTATGTTGTTAATGATGTCGTCCCGAAGTTCAACTTCCAATTATTTCTTCTAATTTGACAGGGATGATGATGAAATAGTTCCTTGGGAGACAGCAACTTGGCGTGATCAAGATTGGGCTGAGGTTGCACAATGCAGGTAGCTTTGATGTTAGGCTTCCTACTAATGAATACTACAGACAGGGCTTCAGTTGAACTGAGATTGACAAATATAAAATTATTTTATTTAATGCACTGTATACTTAAACAGCTATCAAACATAAGTGCACTTGCCTAAAGATTTTACCTTGCTCTTGAGTTGAATGAAAGCTTTTTCAACACAAGTAAGCAGAAAATAGTTGAACAATTTAATGCCACCACAAAATTGAATGAACCTCAAAATAATTGTTGTTAATAAATTGATCAAATATTAAGACCTGCAAGCAAGGAGAGAAATAATATACTCAATGACTGTCAGCATGGCTTTCGAGTCAACAGATCATGCGAGACCCAACTCCTTGAATTTGCTGAAGAGTTGACGACCAACTTGGAGAACAGCAAGCAGACTGATGTGCTTGTGCTGGACTTTTCAAAAGCGTTTGACCGTGTCAACCATAGCTTGCTATTGCACAAACTGCATAGATATGGGATCCAAGGCACTACCAAAACATGGATCTCTAGCTTCCTCAGCGACCGATTCCAGGCAGTAGTGGTAGATGGCAAAACCTCCTCCTTTGTCAGTGTTAAGTCAGGGGTCCCCCAGGGCTCAGTGCTAGGCCCTTGTTTGTTCCTAGCATATATCAATGATCTGCCCGAGAAGCTGACCTCTCAAGCAAGACTGTTCGCAGACGACACGGCGGTATATAGGACAATGGTCAACAGCTCTGACCAGAGCCAGCTTCAACAAGACCTCAATCGGTTAGCTGAGTGGGAGATAAGCTGGGACATGGAATTTCATCCCGTCAAGTGCCAAACCCTGTCAGTCTCCAGAAGCAGGTTCCCTCTAAACCACTCTTACGAACTGCATGGCCATATTCTTGAGCCAGTTTCCTCCGTTAAGTACTTGGGTGTTACCATCCAAAGAGAGGTCCGCTGGGACGAGCACATTAACAGTGTGTGCAACCGGGCAAACAAGACCCTGGGGTTCCTAAGGCGCAATCTGAAGATCGGCAACTCAAGCGTGAAAGAAAAAGCCTATAAAGCCTTTGTCCGACCTATCTTAGAGTATGCTTCTACAGTCTGGGACCCATTTACCCAGAAAAGCATAGACAGGTTGGAGGCGGTCCAGCGACGGGCAGCACGCTTTGTCATGAACCGCTACAGAAGCACCTCGAGTGTTGGCAGCATGCTGGAAACACTGGGCTGGTCGACATTGGAAGAACGACGACGACTATCCAGGCTCACCATGTTGTACAAGATAACAAATGGACTGGTGCACTGCTCCGGAATCAAACAGAAACTCGTTAATCTTCCCCCCAGACTGCGACGAAGTCACGACAAACAGTTCCGGCTGGTAAAAACAAGAACGAAGTACAGAAGCTCCTCATTCCTGCCGAAGACAATAGGGGACTGGAACAAGCTTCCAAAAGCAACAGTTGAGGCGGCTACACTCGATACATTTGTGTCTATTGCCTCCTGTATTCCAACCCCCAGTTCATAACACCACTGCTGAGTCGCCCTTGCAACCAGTGAAGTATCCCATTGAAACCCATGAACAGTAACATCGCAAACCTCTCTGAAACATAGGAGCCAGAATGATCAATTCATTGATCGTGGGCCCTTAAAATAAAGAAGAGAAGAAGAAGGTGTATAAAAGTAAAAGGCCAGATGGTGGTCTTTTAAACTTAAACTTTGAATAAGGTTTGTCTTATACTTTTTCAGAAAAGCTGTTGACCTGGGCGATGAAGATGGAGCAGCCTTCTTATACATAAACTTTAACAGTAAATATAGGTTAGTTACAAGAAGCTTTTTATTTTAGAGACATTGAGTTTTCAGAAAATTGCCTCAAACTATTAACTATTTTTTTCTTTCAAACTTGCTTTTTAAATATATGTAGTCATTTCATGCAATGATTCTAAAAAAATATTTTAAATGTCATGATAATTCCCAAGTAGTATTAAATTCACTTGATGTGGGAATTCAGTTATCTCAAATATGTTAAATGTGCATATGAAGAGTCCATTTTCAAAAGGTGTTATCCGTCATTTTCGAAAAAAAACAAGATAACCATACATTCTTATAGAGCAAACCAGGTTCCATTAAGACATATTAAAGTTTCTTACCAAAACACATTTTATTCCTATAATATTCTATGTCTAAAAATGATTTTGTTTTCTAAATGTGGTGTGTATTTTATTTTTACTATCAAAATGATGTGTATATTTTGGACCAATTCGTGTGATTGGAAAGCTACTTTCCGCTGCATGTTGCGCATGCGCACTAAACATCACGAAGTGAAACAACAACAAACATGGTGGATTACGACGGCCTGGAAGAAAGAGTTGTTTGTACTATAAAATCTCAAAAAAGAAAGAAAAAAAGCTCAACATGAGAAAAAGAAAAATCATTTCGCTATTCAAGCGGAGGAAAGATTCCCTCTATTACGTGTAATCACGGAAAAGGTTACTGCGAGGTGAGTTACCGGTAACTTTTTATCAAGCTTCAGTTTCAAAAACTAAAATAGTAGTATTATAAATTTATGTGTATGTCGCAACGAAAACGTGCTTTTGACGTTTTAGTACCTATGCTACAGAGATTAATGTATGAGTGTAATTTTTTAAAATGGTATTATTTTGGTTGGGGTAAAAATTAATGAGCCAATAAATGCATTTAACTTTTTAAAAATATTCTAATTTATCATTATTTTTTAAATTTAAACATAATTCATAATAATTTTAAAAAAAAAACTATTGAATTTTCAGGCACTAGAAATAACACGTGAAAATGTAATGACATGTCATGCATAACTTTATAACAAATGGGACAAAGTGTCACAAGATGCTGCAATATTATCAATGCTTCATAATGTGGGCAGAATCAAAAGGGCCAGAGTTAAAGATGATGTAAGGAAAAAATCCAGAATTATGATTTTAAAGTACTTCTTATGCTGTGAAAGAGAAAAAATACAATTTACCAGGCTTCATTTTCTTCTGTGTTATGCAAGTATATTTTTAGTGTAAAAAGGCTTTTGGAGCATAATTCTAATATAATTAATTGAATTTTTCTAACATTTAATTTTTTTTGATGAGGAGGAAAGCCTTCATTGTCAGGTATTATATAATATTTATACATAAAGTTTTTTCTTCTGAATCTGTACCATACACTTTCAATGTATTCAATAAGTATTATTATATTATTAAATAAGCAGTAAAGTTCATTTTACATTAGTGCGGTCATGGTTACTGGACATCAGAAGTGTTTAGAAAATGAAAATAAAGTTGCTTCACAGAGTTAACTGTATTATGTATTATTATTACTACAGGAGAAAGAAAGATAAAACCAGTTATGTAAAAATAATTGTAGTAAAAAACTTGCAATGTAAATGTAAGCTTTTATATTCAAAAATATAATTATAGACTTGATTTATGTATTATTGATAACATCTTTTTTTTTGACATTCTGATTTAATGAGAATAACGCAATATAAATGTCTACTCTCCCTGGAGTTATTTTATTTAAAAAAAAATCATTTGTATATTTTTAGCCACACATCCTGACAGAGTATTAAGAATTGTCAGACACTGTTTTGAGCATAGGACAACCAGACCAGAGAATAGAGGCGGAGACATGAAACAAGTGGCCTTTGCAGAAAAGAAGGAGGCAAATAAAAACCACATTCAATCTTTCACATGCAGAGTCAGCCATTACGGAAGAAAGGGTGCTCCAGGACAGAAATAGTTTCCCTCTGATTTGAATGTAAATAAGATGCATCAACTTTTCCTGGAACAAAACCAAACTGCTATTGAAGATGCTGCACACTCTTAATCAGACACTTCATAATTTTCTATTTTGTTGTTCTTCTAAATTCAAATAAAATGATTTGTGAATTGAACATTATCTTTTTTACTTTTGTTTAGAATTCAGATTTATAAAAAAAAAATCATGCAAACTAGTAGCAATCTAAACATTACACTAAAAGGGGACTTTCCAGCATTTCTAATACTGTATTCTTAAAATATATCAATAAAAAACAATAAAACACAATTATATAATGCTTATTATTATATTATACAATTTAATTTAATTTTGATATGTTAGTGGTTTGTCATTTTTAAAACAAACTGAAATATTTGGTACTGGGAATGTTATCCTATCAAAATGGATATACAGCATTTTGTTGCTAAGTAAATGTTGGATACATAGCATTTTGAAACAAAATAAGAAATTAAACCAAGTAAATAAATACATTTTAATTAACCCATATTTCAATTTTCATCATAGTCTACATTATATTTTGAATATATACCAAATAAACAATTACTCTTCCGAAAATTTGAGCCATCATTGTGCAGCAAAAAAAGTTGAATATCTCAAAACGCAAAAAAAAAGGAGAAACAGCATTTTGATAATCGACTCTTCATATAAACTCTTAATTTTAAAAAAAATACAACTGAAATCTCATTTTTAAAGGACTGAACAGCTGAGTTTCAAGTTAGTTGAAGAATGGTACCATGAGAGGGCTTGTGAGATTGAACAAAAGTCACGTATTGTGGACAATGCCATTGAGTTGGTCAAGCTGGGGATAGAAAGAGGTTTTGATGTAAGTAATTGTTCTGTTCAATAGCTTAGCTTAAAATTTTAAGAAACTAAGTGAAAAGAATACGGTATCCAAGAAATATAACTATGTTTGAAGACCCACCCAGAGTCGCAACAATTGAACAAGGCAGACCATGGTGGACTGAACACCTTGAGAGAATGCTAGATTGTAGAGTGGCAAAAGTAATGTACAGGCAGAAACCTAGGGGCAGGCGGCTGCCCAGTGGACCAAGACAGATGGATTGATGAAGTAGACTAAGACCTACATCAGTTGGGGGTCCACGCATGGCTTCGAAAAGCCATGGATTGCTTCGAAAAGCAATGGATCGATCCGAATGGAAGTATGTGGTTGAGCAGACCAGGGCCCTACATGGGTGTAGCACCACTGATGATGATGAGTTGAGAGAACTTCTTTCTCAAATATTGTGACAAATAAAATTATGATTGATGTACACTTATAGGTGATCGTGCCAGTAATTGTTGTTGATTTTGATTGAAATTAAATTCTCTCATATAAATTTTAAGGTTTGTATCCATTTCTGTTATTTAAACTGAGAATATGATGAAAATGCAGTTATTTTATAGAAAAGAAATTTGACTTTCTTCCAGAACTTGCATGAGCTCCTAGATGATCTGGTTACAATGGCAATGATGGTCTATGAATGTGGAGTGGCTCCATCTTTAGAGTTTTCACAACTTAGAGAAATGGCTGACTATGACAGACTAGAATTGATTATGGCCAAGGTAAAGATACAAAAACTGTTTTCAAATTAAAAAAACCAGCCATTTTCTTTGTCACTAGGAAGATTTCCAAGAAAAATTATTTGAATCATCAATGAATCATGTTTTGTTACTATGTTTGAAAATCTTCTTTTGTTGTTTAAATTGATGAATATAAAATTAGACTTGCAAAAGACTTTGGAAAATATTTTGGAAAATATAAATAAATGATACAGTAAATAGTAATTGCTATTTCAAAGTGATAATAGTTAATACAAGAATATTGTGGACAGTTTTGCTTTTCATATATGAGTTTATAAAAAATTGAAATATGAAAAAAAAATTGTTGTGAAATTGAATTTAAATTATTTTTATACTTTGTTAAAGTCCACAGAGGAGATGTACACAAAGAACTTACGCAGATGGCTTGTTCCATTTCTACAACGTTGTGACCAGAAGGAACCGGGAGCTTATGATCAGTTATTGAAAGACTTTGTTGTTACCCAGGCTCAGAAGGACCTGACATTGGTGTTAAAGCTCTTTGAGACATCAAAGCCCAGCGTGAGTCTTGACTGCATGTCACCATTACATTAGTGTTTGTAATTTCAAGTTAGTATTAGAAAACTGACATAGAATTGTGTCTTTACTAGCATAAAAATAGCTTAACATTTTAAGAAAGTATTATTTGTCAAACATGAACATTAAGATTTTTGCAATATTCATATCTGACATAGACTATTTATGGCAAGAAAACATAAAATGTTTCTCTTTCTACTTTCAAGCTGTTTTGGACATATCAAAATATTTTAGTCTTCATTTTTTTGTGTACAGGTTGCTTCCCCTGTTATCAAAACTCAGACTGAACTTATGTCCTTGGCCTTGGATGCACTTTATTCTTGCAGAAGGCACGTTTTTGTCTTGGAAAGAAATAAGAATAAGACAGCTAGAAAAATTTTAACTGGAATTAGAAATTGAGTAAAGTGGAAAATGATATATGTAAATATATATAACATATGAATTTCTGTAATACAATATATTTGATTAAACCATTTTAATGACTGCTTTTATTGATCCCTATAGAGATGACCAGCTCCAGCTTGCCCATAAGATCTTTGAATGCCTACCTTTGCCAAGTACCCAGTAAGTACTGTCAATAATATTTTTTTTTTTTAAGCTGAACACAAAAATCTTTTTTGTTTTCTTTAGAAAAAGCAATTAAGTTTTTTGAAGGAAAGAATAATATAATTTCCAGAAAATTATTTAAAGTCAATCAGAAGAGTTCTATGATGAAATAATCCCTCAACATCCTTTTGAAGTATTTTTTGAATGCTCAACTTTCAGTCTTAAGTTTGGTTATCTATGTATTATGTCTGTTTTACAACCAGTTTTATTAATTTCCTTTAATTTTTGTAGGTCCAGAAAGGAATCATCTGAAAGTTTGAGGTTACATCAACAGGTGGATCAGCTTGAACGCCACCTCAGGTGAGGCAGTGTCTCTTCTTGTGTTTAAGCTTATGAAATTCTATTGTATTCTTTTACAAATCTAATTTGCAGTTTTTAAAAAATCTTTCTCTAATGTTAATGGTATTTTATTTATTGACTGTAATTTATTTGAAATTGTAACTCTTCTATGACTCCATTTTGTAGGGCAGCAAGTATATTGGAAGCTTATGGCATGAAGAAAACTCTAGCCTACATCAAATCAACAGAGGTAAGTTATGTCTTACACCAAAGATTAATAGTTCACCTGACACATTTTGCTTCAACTAGTTAGGCCTGAAACGGGGATTTATGTAAGAATGCAGTTATTCTTTGAAGTTTAAAATATTAATTTTTTAATGTAAAACTTGAAATGTCATTAAATTTGAATAAATTCTTAGGTATTTAAATCAATTTATCCTATCATCTTTTTGATTAGAATGACCAAGAAGAAGTAAGGAGTCTTATGATCAAGTTAACAAGGCAAGCCACAAAAAGGTAACATGTCATTTTTGCTAATCATTGTTCAGCTGTCTCTTACTAAACACTACTTGGAATGTGACCACAGAATTACAAAACTGTAGGTGATGAAATTCAAATGGGACACATAAGCAAGCTGTTGTGAAGAATGTTCGAATATTATTTTCATACAGACTTTTACACTAAAGCTTAAAAATTATTGCTTTTCAGAAAATGTCCTCCCCTCTCTCCAGCCTTATACATGGGTGGGCAACTTTTTACACTGGATTAAAATGTAAACGGACCATATGGTAGACCACCCATATTTTTAGATGAACTTACTAGAGATTATGAAGAAATTTGTTTCTGAAAATTACATTTCCCAATCTTCCTTTGTCACCAGGTTTCTGTTGGCAAATAGAATCAACATCCATGCATAAAAATAGTTTGAGCACCATAAAGAATAAGACTATACAAAACTAACCATAATATAAAGAAATACAAATAGATTCTAAATCAAAGCTTAAGACAAAATGTTCAACAAGATTACATTAAAACTTTGCACCCTGCAATACCTAAATGACCTATTTAAAGTCTTTGATATAGATATTTGACACAATATTTCCCGTGTGACAGATCCATCCCACTGACTGACATGGAGTGGCACAAATTGCATGATGACATCATGTCTTTACAAGCCCAGATATACACCTGCATCCCAGCTAACATCTGTCGTGAGGTAAATTGGAATCTCTCATTTTTATGGAAAATTTAGGGCTTACATATCTTTTTAACCCACAATAGCTGTTATTTTTGTATTTGATCCTTGCTCATCTTGAAAAAAGCTGTGTGGTAAGGTAATAAGTAATATTTAAGGAAATTTTAGAATTCTTTTCAATCAAATAATTTTTTAAATATATTTTATTGATTTGCAAATATCTTTATCTAAACAATAGCCATAATGAAACCTTTTCAGATATATGTTGAAAGTCTGATGTGTTCAGGACGACAGGAGACAATTCGTCTTGCTGGTTAGTGTTTACACTAATAAACCATTTTGGCATTCATTGATACAATTTGCTTTTTAAAATATTTTAGCAGGTTTTCTTATTAAGGAAAAAGAAAGGAGGTTTGCTAGTTTGGTTCAAAAATAACTATTTTCTATTGTTGGATTCCTTTGCTTTTACTAAATTCTAGAAAAGACCAACTCAAATATCAGAAAATAACATTTATCAGCATCAAAAAATTTGTCAAATTTCTGTCATCATCTTCTTTGTTATTTAGGACAACTGTTGGAAAGGAGTAGTAGTGAGCCACAACCAAGCCGTGCATCAAAAGGAAACAATGTTGAGAAAGTTCCATATCCAAGGGCAGTTGAGTTGGCCTTGTCAGCTGCAAGAGAATACTTTGATTCTTCTGCCAACCTCAGTGATTCCTGCATGGACCTGGCCAGGTCATTCTTTTATATTGTTAAATATGTTTTTATTGTGTGCTTTACTTGAGGGTTTTATATGTTTTTATTGTGTGCTTTACTTGAGGGTTTTATATGTTTTTATTGTGTGCTTTACTTGAGGGTTTTATATGTTTTTATTGTGTGCTTTACTTGAGTTCTGGGGCCTTTCTTTACCCAAAAAAAAGAAATGTTATGATTTTTTCCAAATCAGTTGTTCAAAGTTCCTCAATGGATACAAAGTGTACAATTTGTTGCCATATACAACTTTGAGAAAAGGGAATAGCTAGATCTTTTCATTATCCAAAGAGTAACAGTTATTTATTGCTGTATAATTATTTTCGCCCAGATCCTGTTTAAATCTAATTCTGGATTCTCCCAAGCCAGTTCAAGAAGAACTGGACTTGATCGCTTCTCTTGCTTTATTGGATGAGTTTGGTGTTTCAGTGTTGCCCCTGCAAGGTTTGAAGTGTTATCTTTTTTCTCATTTTGATAATGTTATATGCCTGGTATTTGAAATTCTCTCATTTTTTTTTCCTTTTAAGACCTGGGATTGAAGTGTATGAACCCATTCCTTTATAAAGTGTTGCACACATCCATTATTGTGGCTTATTTATTTTCAAATTTCAGTTAATAAATTATATTGGTTATTATTTTGTTTAGTTCGCCTCAGTAAAGATCGCCTGGAGTTTGTCAAACTAGCTGTAAGCACAAAGCCAACAAGCTATAAACAGACACAAAGGGTAAGCATGTTAGGAAAATTCACTATTGTTTATTTAACAAGGATGTCATAGGTTGTTAGGCTCGTTATTCCTTACTTACAATTAGCTTCTGTCTTTAAAAAAAAAAAAAATCCAACTCACCATTGAAAGTTTATTTCTTGACCAGCTCATTCGCCTTGGTCAGCTGCTAGGAATTCCTTGTGATAACAGTCAACCTTTGGAAGGACAAATTCTTCATATGGCTGCAGAAGCAAGCATCAGTGTAAGTCTCGAAGCCGGAAGAACCAGATTTATTGCATTTAAATTATTTAAGTAAATGAAAGAAGAGAAATCACTATTCAGAGTGACACACGCAGTTTCCTGCTCTATTATTGGTTAACTTACTTTATTGTTAATTGCCCCATCAGAAAGAAACTTTGTAAATACCGGTACTCCTTTGTTAAAATTATATTGAGTAATATTTTAACAAAACTATCAAGTTCGAGTGTTCATGCTAATGTGTATTAATTTTTGTGTTGTTTCTTTTTAATTCATCCCTTTCTTGTTTTTTAGTTAATTTTTACTATTTTGCATGTAATTCTTGTCTAGGCTTTGGACTATGAATTTGCTTATCAATGCTGTGATCGCCTCATCAGTTTATGTTATAGTCCATCTTGGAGTGTTTGTGTTAAACTGGCTGAACAGGAATCTTTCAGGAATATTGACGCCAAGTATGTACAAAATTGTGCAATGAAAAAAAAAATTAAATAATAGCAAAATATTGATAGTTTTTCACTTGTTATTGTTAAAATGTCTAAAACTATAAATATCATTTTCTCTGAGCGTTAAAGGTAGATTTGAAATGAATTATTGACATGGCAATGTTTTAAAAATTGTAATATTTTCTTCAGGGCTAAACTTCTGTCCTTTGCCGTAACGTATTGTGTTAAGGAAAAGATTCAACCAGTTCTTCAAGCCAGGTGTTTGCTGAAAACACAGGTGAAGCATACATTTTTATATTGAATTCTATAAAATTTGATCAATTTGAAATATGTAACAAAAACTTATGAGCAAAATGATTTCACAACATTCCATCTCTAAGTTTTTAATTAAATGCATGAATTGATATCCTTTTAATTTTAACATTTTACGCGTTCCCCTAGATCCTTTATGAGCAAGTCAATAAAGTGGTTGGTGAAGAGACAAGTAAAAAGAATTCCGACTCGAGAGAAAGTCCATTCTCTGCACGTGCTGTCATTCAACAAACCCAACAGATTCTTTCCTCCAGCAAACAGACAGTTTTGTCCACTTTCACTGATGCTAAGTGGTGGCAAAGTGCATTCTCTTCACTGCAGCAATCATCATCTAAACAGAAAACAGAAAGCAAGTTGCAAACTCAGGATAATGCAGACATGAAAAAACAGGGATGTCATCCATTTTATGCCAGTATTATTGAGGGATGTTACGAAGACTGGGTGAGGAAATATTAACAATATATATATTTTTTTTTTGGTTTATTTTATGCACCCAAATTTCTTCTTCATCCCAGAAATTATTTTTATGATAGTAAACTTGCAAGAATTTTGTATATCTCCAGATACATTTAGAAAACTCAGACACAAGTCCTCATTTGAAATTTTACTAATGAAAGGGTTAAAAATATTTTAAAAAACTTAGACAACAAATTCAAAAGCCTGTTGATAGTTATTAAATTCTTTTTGTTGAAATAAATAATATTTCCTTTTTCTTAAATGTCCAGCTTCTGTTTTCAATGAAAATGTAAATAGCTTTATTATTTTAGAAGATAGTTTTAGTTTTTTAGTTTACAATTGTTAAATTGTTATTGATAATTATTGGTTTTAATTAATTATTATTATAGAAAAGCTTTGACTTAGAAGGAGGTCATAAAAAAAGGGAAAGTGATCTCAGTGCTAATATTTTGAGGACTGCGATGCTTGAAGAAATGTTAACCAGGGGAAGCACACAACACCCAGTATCAGAAGCTTTAGTGGACCTTGCCAAATTGACCATGCCAAGAGATGCCTCGCTGGGTCTTGCATACTTGATTGCCACACCAAAGGTTAGTAGAATATTTGTCCCTTGAAAGACCAGTAAAATAATTAATAACAAATACTCTCATGGATTGGTTCTTGTGACACAGTTACTATTATCTCTGAATTAGATTGTATCCAAGCTTTGTGATACCAACATTGTAGTTCATAACATAATAAAATTCACTTCTCATCCCAGGATTATGATGTTAGCAGCTGTTTTGAAGAATTCCCAATCACAGACATCTCACTGCAGCTTGCTGTTTATTACTATGCTTTACAAATATACAGCACCATGCAGCCATCTACCCCACCCCATGTCTATGTTCTCTACCGACAAATCCCATCTAGGATTGTTGCTCGGGTCATTGACTACATTGCTAGTTTTCCTGAATCAAAATGGCCAGCTGAAGTGAATTCTTTGGTAAAGAAATTGAAAAGTTATCATGAAATGTTGGAGGACTATAACCAAGCTTGTACACTGAAAAGACTTGGCAGAGGTTAGTGTTAGACTTTGACAATGGATGAGAATAGCTTGGCCAGTTAGGAAATAAGCTCCACTTTATAATTATTATTGTTTCACAGGCAATATCATCTAAAGCTTAAGACAATTATTCCTACAATCACATTCAAATACTCAAGTATTTTTTTTAACTTCATTTTTCCCCAACTAAATATAAAACTATGTGCTTATTCAAATTCAAGCTTTCTGAACTCTCCTTTCTTTAATAAAAAAATTAAAATTATAGATTTATTTTAGGAGCGACCCCGTAAAAAGTGCAAAAGGCCTTCATTTAAGAAACTATTAATAATGAGCTTTCAGAATATTTTCTTATGGAAGTTCATTATTAGTTATTTATGATAACATATAAATTATATAATTAACTGATTTACAAGTCTAAATTAGCATCACGGAAAATATATAATTTCACACATTAAGTACTGAATTTTAAAAAAAAACATAATTATTTTTCTCAGATTTTGTTTTAGACATTCAAGGGTTATTGGCACCATCTTAAAACTCTAAATCAGTGGTTCTTAACCTTTTTGGAGGTACCGAACCCCACCAGTTTCATCTGTGCATTCACCGAAACCTTCTTAATAGGAAAAATAAAATATGATTTTTTTTTCTGATTTTTTTTCGACCTCCGCCAAACCCCTGAGACTGACTCACCGAACCCCTGGGGTTTGATCAAACCAAGGTTAAGAACCACTGCTCTAAATATTAACATGTTTATGTTGTTAAATTGAAATAATTTTAGGGGTTTTGAAAAATAAATAAATTCAGAAATTGAATAAAAAAAAGCGCAGGAATATTTCTTGTAATTTTCCAGTAAATCCAGAAATTATTTTAAAAAACTTAATTACCATTCAGTTTGATTAAAAGACTTGTATTGTTAACATTTATCAGGTTTTATAAGAACTTGATCTTCAAATGGAAAAAAAACCCAAAACAATTCTTAAATATGTTGCACAGCTGTTAAGTTTAAAAAAAATTGTATTAGAGTGTCATATATCTAAAAATAATATTATTGGCTTGGATTGAACAAGTTTAACTATTTTTAGCAATATTTTCATTCTGTTCTTTAATTGGAGCTGCGAGACTTGTGGCCATTGCGCATGTTAACAAGTCTATCAATCAATATGATTCTCTATGTAGAAAGAAAGTACAATGTAAAAGTGGGTTCAATAGCACACAAAATAAAATTCCAGATGACTACGCTAAAAGAAATGCTTAAAAATGCTGCAAATGATAAGATGTTATATATCTGCGATGTAAAAGGGGATTACAGTAGAATATTAAATATAGTTCCAGGGCATAAAAAAATGTTCAGGGGCGTGTTGTTTTTTTTTTTTTTTGAGAGGGGGGAGGGGGGGGAGGCTAATTGAGATTCTCATAAAGTGCATTACTTGAATGCATTTTTTGTCTAGTAACTTTAGTAGATAGGTTTATATATCTGCGATGTAAAAGGGGATTACAGTAGAATATTAAATATAGTTCCAGGGCATAAAAAAATGTTCAGGGGCGTGTTGTTTTTTTTTTTTTTTTGAGAGGGGGGAGGGGGGGGAGGCTAATTGAGATTCTCATAAAGTGCATTACTTGAATGCATTTTTTGTCTAGTAACTTTAGTAGATAGGAAGTTCACACATTGCCACCACCATTGTTTTATGGGCTATAAATAGTGAAAGCAGATGTGATAGGAGATAAGGTAATGTAATTCTGTAATGAGATGCTCTCTATTTGCTTTAGGTGTTGATGTCATGAGATTTGCTGAAGACCCTGAATATAAAAGAGAGACAATTTTTGGTCTAGCTATGTAAGTCCTTCAAAAATGTAATCATTCTCTTTTGCCTTTTCCTTTTAATACACCTTTTGATTGAAATAATTTAATTTCTAATGTTAATTTTGAATTGGCGTCTCCAACAATCTTTTACAGTGCACTATATTGATTTAGTTTATAAATATTACAAGACTGTTAAGAACAAAAAAATGTAACTATAATCTGCTACTAATTTACATTTCAAGGTCTCTGGAAGATGAAGTGTATAATATTGCCTTGTCCCTTGCCCAGCGTTATGATCTAGATCTATGGGAAGTTTACATGTGTCACCTGGAGTTTCTATTCTCTGACAGTGGGTAAGTCTTCTGTTATGTGAAGATAATTTTCATTTCTCCATTATAGCTGCATTCACAAGTTACTATATTTATTCCTTTGGACTGCTATTGCAAGCACAAACTAATTTTCTGTATATTTACCTTGAGACTTGCCAGGCGAGTTGAACTGAATGGCAGCCAGGCTATTTGCAAACACATTACTTCTTTTAACCTCTAGCCACACTTAATCTCTCTGCAACCACTGAGAGCAAATGGTGAGGCCTTTTCTATAATTTTTTTCCAGTAATAAGCGTAACAACTCAAAAAGCGACATTGATAACCGCTAATTATTTGATTTACATAAAAAGATTACTACACCTTATGCCTTGAAATGTCTGACTTGATTATATGTTGTGTATTTTTCTTTTTATTACTGATTGTATTTGTATGATTACAGATTAGATGATTTAGTTTGAGTTTTTCAGTTCGTTTTTTAGGTAGCAACTTGATTCAATTATTTGAAAATGGTGATTGTTTATGTTTACCTTTCTTCCGTTACTTATAATTCATAGATATATATATCCAGTGTTGCTGTAGTGGCTTGATTCCAATTCACTGCTGTCTAATTATTAAGATAATCACTGCTATGGAAGCATGAGACAGGTCCGATGGTTTTCATCACTATATATATTTTATTTACAAAATCCACTACACAATAAGAAATAAGTCTCCAAGTATGAATAACATAATTGACATAATCTCATACACTTCATATACTTTGTAATATACACACATGGATGATAGCTATTCCGATGCTATAAGATATATACTTAAATCATTGCGAGAGCAAAGATACATAATTCAGCATCCATCTTGACCATTCGAATTCTCTTCCTGTTGCTCTGCGCATGACATTCCAAAATAAAACGTTATGTTAATATTAAAATACGAAACAATTCAATATTGTAATTATAAAGTTGTTACATGATAAAAAAATATTCTAAAAGAATTTTATTCTGACTTGAAATGGATGGAGAATGAAATGACTGGGTAATCTCATAACTGTTACATTACTACCAAATACATGCATCATAGTGTTTGAAAAAAATATAAATAGATATAGCTAAATTTTCACTAACATCTCTTTGTTTTAATTAAGTGTAGAATGATCATCAACTAATTTTCAGGTATGAATTTTTCAAATACACTTTTTGGAGGGGGTTCTTTAAATATGTGCAAAAAGTTCCTGCATTTTGAAGTTTTCTAAAAGATTTTGGGGAGGGTTTTAATGAAACAGGGTGCTTGCATATAATTATTGTAATCAATTAAATTATTGATTTTTTTTTTGGGGGGGGGGGGGGGTTGTTGGTGGTTTTTTAAAAAAAATTGTAAGTTCCCTTTGTGTTAAAAATGATTTTGGGGAGGGTTTTAATGAAACAGGGTGCTTGCATATAATTATTGTAATCAATTAAATTATTGATTTTTTTTTTGGGGGGGGGGGGGGGTTGTTAGTGGTTCTGTAAAAAAAATTGTCAGTCCCCTTAGTGTTAAAAACTAGCTATGCTACTGAGGGACTATAGTACATTCTTATACAAAGATTAATCAACTTTTCTAAATCTTATAGCACATACATTATTTATTATTTTTTTAAAGTTTCCAGTGCTTTTTAGATAATGAGTATGGACCATTTTTTTTGATGGCATCCGTCCATCATAATGTGACAATGGTATGGAATTCGCAGGACGAAATCCACAAGGCCAGGGATATTTCTTCTAGGATAATAAGATGGTTCCCAACAGCAAACCACCTCTCTTCACGCTCTGGATTATGCAAGGGAACACCAGTGTCGCAGCAAGAGTTGTCGGAATATTCAATTGTCTGCCTACGGGACTCCATCTCCGGCATCGAATTCAGAGTTCCCATCCCCCCGGTCCCTGGTGATGTTTTTGCTTGACTGGGCTTTGAACTCCATACCATCAGCTTGAGATTTCCTCAGTTTAGACCACTTGGCCACCCAGCACCATGTGGACCATTAGCCTTGTAAAATTTTTCAATTTAAAAATGTTTTTCAATTCAGAATTATTAAACTTAATTTTCAGCTGAATGACCATTTTCAGTTAAATGAATGTTACAATTATTGTCAAGTGTATGTGATTCATCTGTGTGACACAATTATCAATGAATGTTGGCACAGGCTTTCAATGGAAGAGCTCCAGACCAGAGTGAGTAAACTAGACATTGTGACAACTTTAAAGGAACGTAACTCAGACTTCACTGAGCGCATGATGACTCGAGTTTATCCAACTTTGGCTGGTGCTGATATGCGAGGACTTGCTTACTTCTTCAGTCTTCTGGAGGGTGTACAGGAGAAGGTCTTATGTGGGCTGTCAGCATCAGAACACTCTGCGCTGCTAAAAAAACTGAAATCAGCTTGTCCTAGTAAGTATAATATCTTGTTTAATTTTCTCCAAACCAAAGAGACTATTACATAATTATTACTAATTTGAAAGCTATAATTAAATAATTTGAATAACAAATTACTTATTACTAGATGATGATTTCCCTATATGGACTGATGTCAACATATTATGCAGTAGATTATTTTATATTTATTTGCACACATATATTTTTGAAAATGTTTTTATTCTTCTTTACGTGTGCCATTTCAGGTCTTGACTATAAGAAATTAATGGATAATGTGACAGCCCCAGTCGATGTGCTACAGCCATGTCTCACAGCTAACAACATTCACACCCTGGCCAAGCTTGCACCACAGATTCCTAATAAAGTATGTAGTGGCACATATAACCTAGAACTAAATAGTCAGCTTCTTGCTAGTCTGCTCATTGCCTCACATCGACATCTAAAAATAGCCACCACCCATGCTTGCAGCTGTTCAATGCAAATCTTTTTAGACAGGGTGTGGTGCGACCTTGACAGGATGACCCTCAGGCTGCATAAACAATTTATTAAAAAAAAAACAACAGTTAAAATAGTTAACAGGTAAAATTAATGACAGGACTTCTAGATAGTACCATTGAAGCTATATATAATATATAAATATGAAGCTATATATAATATATAAATACCAGTGGGGAGGAAATTTTTGTTAAATTTCTTTATCCCATGGTGGATGAAATAATAAATATATTGTAATTTTTTTTATCCTTGTTCTAATAATCCAGATCTAAAAAAAAAGATTTACTTTCATTAATATTTTGAATTTAAAAAATTAACTAAATTTGCAATCAGATTAATTCAAAAGAAATATTAGAGCTTTGTGTTAAATATCCATGTATAGGTATTATTGTTTCAGCAATTTGTACTTAATTTTGTTTGAAGGAGAATGGTTTCTTACACCCAAGTTGTCTGTACAGTTATTGGGCTACACAAGTATTTTTGGTGGGAGATGGGAAAAAGAAATGGCCTCCAGAAATTATGGTAAGTTGTAAATGAATGAATTTAAGTGTCACTTGAATTCATGTCTTTGTTAATCTTTTACAGAGTTTTAAAGACAAATAAATAAAAGTATATAATATATTATTTAATCAAATATTCCTTATGTGTGTTTGTTCATTGTTTACCTCTCTTCTTAGTCTGGATGGATCCATCACTATGAATCTTTGTTTGAACTGATCCAAAAGCTAAGACCTGAAGATCTCCTGAATTTTATTGACTCCATTGTGTTCACTCCATCTTCAAGGAAACTGGTATGTTAAAAGCTTTTAACATTGAGAGATTATCTCATGATAAACAACTTCTTGTTGTATTTATATTATTCAAATCAACTGTCCGTTGTCAGCCTTCTATTGATCAATTTTTGTCTCCCCAATCAGATGGACGTACCTTGTCGCCAAGAAATCACCAAAAGAGCCCTCAAATTTTCACGGCAAAGTAACAGTGGTAAAAAAAAGAAACAAGAAGATTCTGTGTAAGCTGAATATTTAAATCAACTGAAACTTTTATCATTATTTTATGTATTATTAACAAAATTCTAAATAGCTTTATAAAACAAATAAGTAACTTAAGGATTGGTCAGTAATAAGGCATACATTTTAAAACCTTTAGAATGAAACAGAGTTGAGATGAGTTTTATCATTTTTGTTTACATTGGTCTGCTTGTGGACACTTGGTTTACTGTTGGTATAATAAGGTTCTCTCTCCAAACCACGATTTTATTTTAGATCACAACGTTGATTTATTTGACGCCTGCTTCATTGGGTTGTTAATGTCCATAAATGTAATATAATAAATAAACACTATAATTTCTGCTTTTTCTAACAGGAAGTCAAGCTGGGATGACTGTTGTAATCAACTGGAGTTAAGATTAACTCATCTCAAATCTCTGACTAATGACACGATTCAGTCATTTGCTCAAGCCACTGACTCAACTTTCTTCTCTTATGCTGAGAGATATGACTTGTCGAAAGGAGATTTACAGCAGGTAAAATTAATGACAGGACTTCTAGTTAGGACCATTGAAGCTATATATAATATATAAATATGAATCTATATATAATATATAAATACCAGTATTTGAAAAGAAACAAAACTAATTTCTGTTAATAAATCCCTATCTTTAGCTATGTCCCACAAACTTCTGTTTCATCTTATTCCATTAGATATTATTCCACTTTTAATACATGACTCTTAATTTGTTTGTGTTGCTGAAATACATTTCATTAACAAAATTCTTAACAATTTCCCCAGTTGGAAGTGCTGCTGGTACAGATGATTTTAGATGGCCAGGCTGTTGAACTTGTGGATGATATCCTTCAAGTAGCTCCCCCTACTTCACTGAAAACTCGCACTATTGTGAGACAAGCTGTAACTCTCATTGTTAAATCACTTAGGTACTTCATATTTGATGTTAGTCCTTTAGATGTACACAAAGATTAAATCCATTCTAGTTATTTGTACAAATTCAGCGCTATGAAGTCACAGGGGTTCATGTGCATATTTACTTTTTCACCATAATCTTATTTCCAAATTGTTTACATGTCTTAACTACACTTTAATGAGCTGTGGTCTCTGCCAATTCTTTTGTTGATTAATTGTGTAATTTTTCCAATAAAAAGGTTTTGTTTGTTTAATTTTTCCAATGAAGAGGTGAAGATGTGAAAAAAGAGGTGACTGTGACCAAGTCATGGCTGGAAGTGTTGGAACTGGTTGTAGAAAATGTAAGAGAGCATCAGGACAATGGGTGAGTTGTGCTTACTGAGGACATCGTGAAATTTATTAGCATTTTTGCTTTGTCCCGATAAAAAACAAAAAACAATTTGTAAAAGTTTTTTTAAGATTCAAGTCAATTGAATACAACTTAATGTATCGGCAACTAGGAAAATGCATATCTTTGAAATTGGTCAGGACATTTCAAACTTACAACACACAGATAATATATTTTTGCTATATAATTCCCAAACTTTCTTATTTTAAATCCAGGGGAGATTTGGTACAGGCTGAAGATGTTATTTCATTACTAAGAGCTTTTTGTTCTGATAGTTCCATTGAAGTTCAACATCGACTTGATGTATTACGGGTATTAGAAAAGGTAATTTGCATCTGTAATTTTTAAAAAGAGAAAAAAAATAATAGTTAAGTAATAATTTAAAATATAAACAAAACATTTTCATTTTAGGACATAACTGGACAAAATAAAAATTTTTTTACGCCCAACTACCGCAGCTTTTTTTGTGCTCAATATTTAAATATGTATCTGATTATTGCAGAGTTTTGACTTATCTGAATGTGATAAAACACTATTGACCTTGTACAGAACACAAGCACTTGTGTCTTCTGCATGGCCCCAGACAGAGGTCAGCTTTTCAACTATTTACAGTCATAATTAGGATTGATCATGAAAACTTATTTTCAGCTGCATACCTTTTGCTATATTAGACACTTAAGTCATTACTGATGTCTTTATTTATAACTATAATTTATGTAACTCTTTATGTATAAACTTAAAAACAGTTCATGACATTTAGTTAATTGTGTGAATTTGATTCAGATAAGTGAGGCTAATATAATGTCAGAAGAGTCACGACTGGTGCTTGTGTCTCAACTACTTGACCAAAGTACAAGCAAGGAACATTTCATCACATTGGGACGATTACTGAATGTCTGGCCAACTTTGTCTGCCACTAATAGGTTGGTTGTAATCTCCACGGAACATTTGCTCACTGGCATAAAGTACCAATATTCTTTAACTCAAGTCAATAAACATGAATAGAGAAAACTTAAGCTGAAGAAAAAAAACACATTAAAATTTACATAAAGTCATGATCTAATGTAATACATTATTGATTGCCAGCTCAAATCCTGAGACCAATCTTTGGGTACAGTTATTTAAAGCTGTTGTTGCAAGCCAAGGTCAAGATGGTGGGAACATCATCAACAATTTACTGGAGAAGGAATGTTCAGTTTTCCCACTTGATGAAAAGGTTAACATCTATTTCATAGAATTGTAGATTATTATGATAAAGAAACATTATTTTGTGCCTTTTAGAAACACATCCAACAAAATAGTTTTCAATGGTATAATAGGATCAAATAGGTCTGCTATTCAAAACTTACAGCTCCATGATAATGCCCACATCCATGCGCAGATAGATACACTGAATGCAATGTTCTACAGCCGGGGATAAACCTATACTTCTTTTGTGTCCTCACATCATACATTCACATATAGTTAGAATTCAGAATGCTATCACTTTGAATGTTCATTGAAGCTGTTTATATGAAAAGATACAATGAAACAAAATGTATTTAAACTAACAAATTTGATGGACCTAACTAACTTTGTTTAAAAACTTCTCTTGTATTAGAGTTAACTTTTGTTTTCAGTGCACAGAAGAGATCTATGACATGCTGTGTGAACATGATCAGCCAATCTTTAGTGTCAAGTTAGCCTTGAGATGTCCCCACCAAAAACTTATAGAGAAATCCCTAACTCTCCTGGCCAATCTCACTCAGGTAATAATTAGGGTAATATAAATAAGGGCATCGTAACTTTTGTCAGAAAAGTGAAAAGGAAATGTAGCTCTTTGTAAATTTCCATAAATAGGAAATCTTTTTTGTTTTTGAATTTAATATCATAAATGGGTGTTCTAATGTACACATATTTAATTTTAATATGGCTTGATTGAGTTACTAGGACAATTAAATGAAATTTTTTTCAATAATTTCCTCAGGGCATTGAAGATGAAGATTTATTTCAACTTATCTTGCACAAGAAGCTGGCCCCTCAAATTGTTTCAATGCCTGTGTTTTCTCCACTTATAAATTACCTACTTGAAGTTCAAGATCCTGCAGACTTGGTCTCAACTGCAATGGTTGCCTCACAGCTTTCAGAAGCAGGCTTCACAGTGGAGGCCGGTTCTTTGATGTTACAAGCCCAGTCCAGTCATTCTTTGCTACTGACTTTCAACTCAGCTCTTATTTCCACTGCTCGTAAATCTAAATAAATGTGCAGTCTTATTTTAGATCTGGATCACAATGTTGTGCTAGTAAATATCAAACTTTATGTCCATGATGCCAAGGAAGTTCAATGTTTAACATAATTATTTATTTACATTTGAGATTTTTGAGAGAGTTCATTAGATTTATGACCAGCTCTAGCTTGTGGAAGTCTGTATAAGGACATTATCAGGACTTTCTTGTTTAATGCTAATCAAGGGTTGATACCCATACTAGAGCTGAAGTTGTATATTGCTGTATTGCTGTGGTAAAGGATGATTTTAGATTTCTAAAACACACACCTCCAACAAAAATACCTTGTTATTTATTTTCATTTTCTCTCACCTTAGATTTCCAATTTAATTTATTGCTCAGTTTGATTTGATTGTTGTACATTTGGTGAAGGGGGGAAAGTGTTACTTTTCAATTTTCTTTGTTAATGTTAGTCTTTCAAATATTTGCTGTTATGGCACTGCCGTAAACTTCTTAAAAATGTCTACAAATATATTAATTCAATTTTGCATTTGATATAATTGTGTTTCTTTAGAACTAACAGTGTTGTAAGTTTCTTAGAAGATAAATATTTGAATAACCCGAGTCTCACAATATCTTGTTTTCAATGATGACTAAATTGATACAAGCTCTATGTTGACATGCAGAATGAATCATCTCCTAACTTGACATAAACAGTAAGAAAAATCATATCCACAGAAAACTTATTTGCTAGAACATCAGTCAAGTCACATGTTGAGGAGTATAGTTTTATTTGGTATTTAGCTTCGTTATGGCATTTTTTGAAATGGATAAACTATTTGATGAATGATAGGTGGGTCATCGTTAAAATGAGAGAAAGTATGACACCTTTAATATAAATAAATGATCACAAATTTATTTTTGTTGAAACATATTGGACAACTTGGAATACCAAGAAATACAAATTTCATTTCTTAAATGTGGTTTAATGTTAACTTGTTTTTCTTCTTTGTGGTTGTTCTAGGTACTAAGTTTCATTAAATAGTTCAGTTACTTTTAAAAGTCATGTTTGAAACACTACTTGTTTATCACCACTTTAAGTCAAGCAGGTCTCTACCTTTTATGTTGATCAGAGGACTTTGACTGCAAATGACAACTTTTATTTCTTCATGTTAATGATCTAAAAAGTGATTAGAATAAAACTGTTATATGATTTAGTATGTTTTAATGTGTTGAGTTGAGTGAGTTGTTACGTGAACATTTTATGGTTTTGCAAAATTTAATTATGTTTTAAGATTTGGCTTGTTTGATGAAAAATACATAACAAAGAACTGAAAACCAGTATGCAAAGAAAAACTATACCAGAGCTAGTGATATTAACGATATTCAATTTAATTATAATTTTTAATTTATATAAAAATACAAAACCAAATAAACAGAAAAAACCTATTAACTTACAGAACAGAAAGTGAAAACGTATAATCTTTGAAAGATACAAATAATAATATATAAGTATATTAATGGCTAGGAAATCTTGCAAAAATTTCCTCTGGCTGGGAAGCTGTCAGCTTTTTTATAGGGAGTGAGTTAAAAAGAACCCTCCAGAAAAGAAATTCTATATATTGAATCATCAGATAGCATTCTTTAAAAAAAAAAATTAGAACTTAAACAACCTTTTCCCTATCAAGGAAGGGTGGGCAATGGTAAGGCACTTCACATCTAATCAGTGATTTCAATGTCAAAACAGAGGGCTGGATGCCACAGCACATAATGAAAAAAAAATAGGTCAACACACAGGCTATAATGGGATTACGTTTTTGTTCCAAAATATTTTCAATATTCTCTTGTATACTCTGAATAGTATTTAAAAATGAAATGGAAAATCTGTAGTATTATTTCTTAGAGCATTTACTTCTACAATGTCCCATCTCTTCCATTATTAAAATTGCTTTTAGTTTTAGCAAGCTCTTATTTACCCAGCTTTCTCATATTTGCAAGTATTTGATGCCAGACACAGAAAGCCCTTTTTTTTTTACACTTTCCACCATTGCTTAGAACAGAGCAATGCAATCTATTTCATATTATGTCAGATAGGCCTATGCATAACTTAAAGATTATGGAGTTTCAGTGGTCAATGAACGTTTCTTATACATTATCTTGAACTTGAAGCATTATTATTGTTTATTAAAAATATATTTTAAATTAATGAAACCCTCAGCTAGGGCTCGTAAGAGAACAAAATAGGGGAAGAGGGGTGCGATAAGGGACGCGATTTTGTTTAAATACCGGTACTGAATTTGTTAAAGCGCACCAAAATTACGAAGGGACAATCACTGTAAATTATTGCCTATAATAATTATAAAACTTTTGTGAACTTCTGAGAATTGGAATTATATCTTAGAATAAGAACGGGTAAAAAAGTTGTTAACAGTCTGAGCTAATAAAAATTATGTTAAAATTTGGACAATAATATGTTAAGACACAAACATAGTTGAGACGTGGTAAAAAAACGGACGTTCTTACACGCTGGCTGCACATGCGCAAACAGCAGACCACGTACGTATATAATAAATACATACACAAACCAGGGCTACCACACCTTGGGAAATTTCCCAAGATCTTGGGAATTCACGACCCCCCTTGGGATCTGGGGAATAATTTTGAAAATCAGGCAAAACCTTGGGAAATCTTAACTTAGGGGAAACTTTTGTTATATTTTTCGAAATACTCAATAATATCTGATAAAAAATACAGTGAAAATAAAGCAAAATAATTTTTAATGTAACAAGGCAAAAAATTAATTGTTTTCATTTTCTTTTCTGGTTTTAATTTTTAAATCCACTCATAAAATAAATAAAAACTCTTCTGATTTTAAAGTTAATATTGTGAATTATTAAAAAGTTAATAATTTTAAAAAAAAATTCAATTTTCTTTTTAAAAAAAAAAATTGAAGATTTACAAATTACATCCAGGTTTTGAATGTTTATTAAAGGGGGGGGGGGGTAGGCTCGGAAACTTTATCATTATGCTCTTAGACATTAGCAACCATACGAAAAACAGTACAAGCCAAAGAGTGAACGATAGTGTTCAATCAAGAATCCATGCCATAGTAGAATTTTATTATTTCAATTACTTCTACAATGTGTTCAAAATATAATGCATCTGTAAAAAATCCAGCCTAATTTTCATCAATTAGAAAAAATATTTGTGGATTGAAACACGGGTAACTAAGATATTAATAGTATAGGCAGTATAGGCCTACGTTGTAGGATTATAAATGAACAATTCCTTTAAAAATTTTTTTTTTTTTGGTGAAAAAATCGTTATAATGTAAATTTTACAAGAAAAAATAAAACACTTATTGTTTTCATCGTAATATCAATCCATTTTAACTACAATTATTATTAATAAATTTTGCTTAATTGCTTTGCAAACCCCACTTGTAATCAACAGATTTACAATAATAAAAAATCATTTTTTGATGAAGAAACTTTTGCCTTTGTAAAAGGAATTCTGTGTTGATTAGCCTTGTATGCTTTTTTTTTCCAAGTGACTTCTATTACACATGTATTGTAGATGATATTTTTACCAGAGAATTCGGAGGTAATATTTAGTAGCCTAACTCCAGTGGGTATTGATATTTTGGATTATAAATTATTTTTTTTAAAAGAATTTTTTTTTTTTAAAATCTGATAAACATGTTTTAAATGTCTTTTGCAATAAATTTCAGTCAATTAATTTACCATGTTTTTCAGGGGCATTGATTTAATCTATTATTACATTAATTACATAGAAAACCCCCCTTTAAAAAAAAAAACAATCTCTTATATATTTTATGATCTTGGGAAATCTTGGGAAATTTGTTCACCAAATCTTGGGAAATTTAAAAAAAGTGAGTGGCAGCCCTGACACAAACAAGATGGCTAACCAAGGAGTTGATCAGCTTTTTGACATCCGCACTTCATTTCTTACTGGGAACTTTCAACAATGCATTAATGAAGCACCCAAATTAAATGTAAATGAATAATATCTTATTTTATTGAAAATATCAAAGTATCGCTGATCACGCCTAAATGTCACAATCTGAACAGTGGAATAGACTCAACACATTCATTATAATTATTATTTAACGACTAACGATCAATTCAATATATATGTTACCGGCAATGTGTGAAATCCGGCATTTTATAGAATGCCTAGGTATTCTATAGAATGCCTGAAAATTGTAGGCAAAGTATGAAATGGTTTATATTTTACACATTTCCTAGGCATTCTATATAATGCCTAAGAGCGACCCGGCAATGTATAAGAATACCCCGCCATTCATGTTGGATTCGTTGCTTGGTGGTGGCGTTGTGATCACGACACACATGCTTCATACTCCCGCCAAAGACGCTACCCCTATTGTTTCAAGATGGCTGCCGAGATGTTGGAAGATCAGATTGTAGCTTCAGATCAGGAATCATGGTATGTTGACATGCAACGGCGGTTCTACGATGAACTTTCTCAATTTCGAGCCAACACTGCTAAAAACTGCGTTTCTCTAACAGAAACTAGTTACCAAAAATTAGTGGATGATGTGAAAATGGCTCGGGTGACAACTCGGAAGAAACCACTAGACTATTGGCTGCTGAAACGCTCTGATTTAATGGCGGTAGAGAACAAAAGCAAGTTGATCTATCCTGTTAAAGAAGGCGACAGTGCTATTCAGTTCTATGTCTTGGATTCAGAATTATTTGACGTACTTCACGAGGCTCATTTGGCCGTGGGACATGGAGGAAGGGACAGAATGTTGAAAGAACTTTCACACAAGTATAAGAACATTACACGTAATGATATTGAACTTTACCTCCACCTTTGTGAGCCGTGCCAGAAGAAACAAAAAGGTGTCACAAAGGGTGTTGTTGTGAAGCCTATGATTTTTTCTGAATTCAACTCCCGTGGTCAGGTCGATCTTATCGATTTTCAATCCCATCCTGACAGGGAATATAAATTTATAATGGTGTACCAAGATCATCTCACAAAGTTTGTGGTTCTGAGGGCTTTAACATCCAAGAGGGCGGAAGAGGTAGCCTACACATTAGTGGAAATATTTACGCTGCTTGGAGCTCCATCAATTCTACAGTCCTATAATGGCCGGGAATTTACAAACAATGTGGTGAACAGCCTAAAGGAGTACTGGCTAAAGTTGAAGATCGTCCATGGTAAACCGTGCCACTCACAAAGCCAGGGCAGTGTCGAAAGAGCTAATCAAGACATCGAAAACACGCTATGTGCTTGGATGCAAGGTAACAAAAAACTGACCACTGGGCTGAGGGATTATAATTCATCCAACTTATGAAGAACAGGGCCTTTCATTCTAGGATCAAGAGAACATCTTATGAAGAACAGGGCCTTTCATTCTGGGATCAAGAGAATGCCTTATGAAGAACAGGGCTTTTCATTCTGGGATCAAGAGAATGCCTTATGAATAACAGGGCCTTTCATTCTGGGATCAAGAGAACGCCTTATGAAGCTCTGTTTGGTTGCAAAGCTAAAGTGGGCATTGCAACGTCTTCCATACCCCCTGACGTTTTGCAAGACATACAGACTGAGAAAGAACTCNCCTTATGAAGAACAGGGCTTTTCATTCTGGGATCAAGAGAATGCCTTATGAATAACAGGGCCTTTCATTCTGGGATCAAGAGAACGCCTTATGAAGCTCTGTTTGGTTGCAAAGCTAAAGTGGGCATTGCAACGTCTTCCATACCCCCTGACGTTTTGCAAGACATACAGACTGAGAAAGAACTCGAAAAAATAATAGAAAGCGTAAAAACAACACAGGAGGAGGAAGCCAATCGTCAGATGCAAGATACAGAGCCTGCTATAAAGAATACTGAAGAGAATGCAACCAGTAATGGAGGAAACCAAACTGATTGTGACGTCATGGTTACCGAAGAGCCTTCCACTTCGGGTGTTTGTTGTGTCTGCTTAAAAGAAAGCGGCGGTGCCCTTGCATGCCGAAACTGTCCCCGTAATGTCATGTGATCTGTGGGAATGCTGCTAAAGACGATGGAGACGAGGAAATAGAAGGTTATGGTGTTGGTATTTTGTGCAGCTTGTGTTTCAAGATAAAGCGAGCTATAGATGCTAGAAAAGAATCTAAATCGAATCTTGAAATCCAGACCAAAAAAATGAAAATAAACTCTGACAAAAAAATTCCCTTCTGCACCTTTAGGAGCCACTGTGCGAGTTCCTATTCCTGACGTTGACAAGGGACGGTGTGACTCGCGCAATCTGTTGGCAGTTGTTATGACAGAGACAGAAGACGGCTTTTACCGACTTGGAACTGCACACGGAATCTTGAAACAACTGCATTCGATATCACAGTTCACTGTATGTCCAAAAGATTTATTGAGGGTTGAAGACGTCCCGGCCCATTAAATACCTCTCCAATCTGCAGCTATCTCTCAGTCAACAGGAAGCGGTCAAGGATACGTGAGGTATATGTGCAAGACCAGGTGCCAAAATATGAAGTGTCTTTGTTTGAAAAAGAAAATTAAGTGCAATTCCAAATGCCACTCCAGCCGTACTGGCTGCAACAAGTAGCTCGATGACACCTTTGCTTTCCAGTTTTGTTGTTATCTTTCGTATTCAAATGTGTTTTTCCAATTAAAAAAATTTCTTTACGCTCTTTTGAAACTTTGCCTGAATTATATTTGTCATTATATATAATACCTAGGCAATGTATAAAATGCCTAGGCAAAGTATGTAACTTAATCACGAAAATAAAATATTTCATACTTTGCCTAAAACCGCCAGGCATTCTATATAATGCCTAGGCATTCTATACAATGCCTGCATTTCACACATTGCCGGTAACATATATATCAAAGTATGTAACTTAATCACGAAAATAAAATATTTCATACTTTGCCTAAAACCGCCAGGCATTCTATATAATGCCTAGGCATTCTATACAATGCCTGCATTTCACACATTGCCGGTAACATATATAATAAGTATAAGTAGAAAGTTATGATTAAGTTTAAGGTTGAAATACTCAATGTTAATTGACATTTGTGATTTAATAGGACCTATACAAAACTTATCATTCTTTAAATTAAACTTTGTCTTTACTAAGTACTAAGTAGCCACTTCGATGAGATCCGGGAATTGCCGAAAACCAGGTATCGTGATTTCGTTATCAAAATGGCGACCTCCACTTTTTAATTTACCGAGACCCTCGTTGTTCACGATTTTTTTGCTAATTATAGCCCAGCAAGAACATTCTATTTCCGCCCACAACTTTGAGTAGATACTTTGGTCTTTGGTAAAAAATTTAAACATTTTGTAAAAATAAACCAATGGCACAGTTGAATAGAGCTAATTTTTTTACAGAATTATAATGCCAAAATCATATTTTCAGCTGTTGTAGTTTTAAAGTTATGAATTTTTACAGTACGACTTGGTTTTTCCTTTTTTAACATGGACTGCATCTCCACATTCTGTGACCTCATTCCGGTGTTCGCGTCATGCGCAGTGACTATATAGGTTATATAAGCCAACGCATCCCCTTATCACTAAAGTACTGTTTAGGGTCTACGCATTTTAAACTTTCAACTTTGGCACAGAAATGGGTCACAAAATGTGCTGATGCAATCTCTAGTAAAAAAAAAAGGACCAAAAACTACATATTTTAGAAAATTCGAGCTCAGACATTACTTAAACTATAAAGTTGATGTTGGTGTCATTTTAAAATAAAATTTGCTGTATACAGCCGTACTGCTTTTATTATTTAAAGAATTTTTTTTTTTTAGCGAAATACCTAGCATTATGAAAATAATACTATTAATATTAGTATGGAACAAATGAGGAGGATTAAAAGAACGCAATGCTTCATTCCACAGTAAGGCCCTCTCTAAGATCAAGCCTTTTTTTTTTTCTTCATTGATAAATATCCTTCCTCAAACTTGCCAAGGCCTTAGACTAAAATCCAGTTAGTCTTAGCATTTATTTCAGCCGTGATCTTATTATTATATTGCAGTTATGTATTAAAGATATAATTTCTTTCCAGCTGGGAACTCCTGAACTGAAAATCGAACGTGATGTCATTATGTACAGAGCTTATATTGCACAGAAGAAGTATGGTGTCGTTTTGGATGAAATCAAAGGATCTGCTCCAGCTGAGCTTCAGGCAGTTAGGATGTATGCAGACTATTTGTCTAACGAATCACGCAGGTGAACATGTACTTTCAGTAATTATTATGTTTTGATATATTCCACTATTTTATTTTTAGTACATTTATAATTACTTGAAATCTATATTAAATCCAATACAAAATTGTCTAGTAAGAACATACACTTTAAAATCTGTATATACACTTTAAAATCTGAATGTTCCTACATTTTAATCCGCCCTAATATTAATATGTTATTTCAGGGATGTCATTTTAAGAGATTTGGACTCGAAGATGAGTGGCAATGTTGATCTGAGCAACAATATCTTCCTTTTAATGGCAGGATCAATTTACTATCATGAGCAGGTATCTTAATCATTGTATACAGGTGTAGACTATGAATATCAGTAACAAAAATTGGAAATGTTCTTAAATTTATCCAAATAGAACCAATATATCATCAATGACCTACCCGAGAAACTGACATCCCAAGCAAGACTGTTTACAGATGACACTGCGGTGTATAGGACGATCGCCAACAGATCTGACCAGGACCGGCTACAACAAGATCTCAATCGGTTAGCTGAGTGGGAGATGAGCTGGGACATGAAATTTCATCCTGCCAAGTGCCAGACACTGTCAGTCTCTAGAAGTTGTACTCCTCTACACCACCAATATGAACTGCATGGCCATATACTTGAGCCAGTTTCCTCCGTAAAGTACCTGAGTGTTACCATTCAAAGAGAGGTCTGCAGGGACGAGCATATTAACAATGTGTGCAACCAGGCAAAAAAGATCCTGGGTTCTTAAGGCGTAATCTAAAGATTGGAAACTCCAGTGTGAAAGAAAGAGCCTATAAAGCCTGTGTTCGTCTGGTTTTAGATTATGCATCCTCTGTCTGGGACCCATTAACCAAAAGATCATCGACAGGTTGGAGGCGGTCCAGGGATGGGCAACATGCTTTGTTCTGAACCACTTCAGGAATACCTCTAGTGTTGGCAGCATGCTGGAAACACCAGGCTGGTAACCATTGGAGGAACGATGACGACTATCCAGGCTCTTTATAATGTATAAGATAAATAATGGACTAGTCCACTGCTCCAGCATTAAACAGAAACTCATCCCTCTCCCCCAGCAACGAGGCCATGACAGGCAATTCCGGCTCATACCAGCGAGAAGCCAGTATAGGAACTGCTCATTCCTGCCCAAGACAATCAGGGACTGGTACAAGTTTTCAAAAGGAACAGTTGAGGCGACAACACTTTACACATTTTCATCTATTGCCTCAGGTCTTCCAACCCCCAGTGTATGATAGCCTCACAAAGTAGCCCTTGCAACCAGCAAAATATCCTCATCATCACCAGGCACAGAAACATTGCAAATCCCCTCTACATTCATAGGAGCCAAAATGATCAATAAATTGATCATGGGCCCTTAATATATAGAAGAAGAAGAAAAGTGTCAATTAAATATTAACAATATTAATGTGGTAATAAGTTCACCTTGTGAAATGGTTATTAGTATATTAACTGACATTCAATTTCAGACTGATGAAACATTTCTTTTTATTAATATTCATTTATATGCATTTTCAGAATTATGACTCAGCTCTGAGAACCTTGCATCAGTCTGACAACTTAGAATGGTAAAGTATAATTTTGTTAGGCATTTTCTGTAACTGGAACAATGAAAAGATGTAAGACACAAATAAAATATTTAGTTTAATCTTTTTTTTTTTTTTAATTTTCAACGTTCCCAAAATTAAAACAATTTATGATTGAACATTTTTTTGTTTGAAATGGTGTCACTTCGTAATATTTTGAAAAGCTAATTACAACATTTTAATTTGTCTTTTAATATTTGAAACAATAGCATGGCCTTGATGGTGCAGACTCTATTAAAGATAGACAGAGTGGATCTTGCTAAGTATGTAATTTTAGTTATGGTATTACATTTTTGGTTTACTAATTTGGATTCGTTGTCCCAAAAAGAGGGAGGGGCTTTCAAATTATATGTTGCTATGTGGAGAGAGCAGAGGTATCATAATTACTCAAAATTACCTTTTTAATAGTTGCATCAAAATTATTCAGTTTAAAAAAAATGTATGCTTGTATTTAGTAGAGGAAAAAAATATTGTTCTGAGGCCCTGACAGCCATAGATGACCCAGCTTCTTATCTGCTTTTGTATTATTTCAAGCTTATTTGCTAATTTTTGTTGCAGAAAAGAGTTAAAAAGGATGCAAGATGCTGATGAAGACAACATTCTATTTCAATTAGCACAGGCTTGGTTTAATCTAGCTGTGGTAAGATCAGTTTTTCGGTGATGTTTAATAATTTAAAGCAGTTTTATCATGTTACTCAACTGAATCTTATATCAGCACGATTGTGTTACTTTTAGAGTTTTATTAGGAACTTGAAGATATCACGTCAGCTTGGGATATCACTTAGTATTCTCAGCAAAGGGGATGATAACTTTTTAAAAGAATTTTTATAATTCCTGTCATTCAAAAAGTTGCTTTAGTAAATAAAATGTGAAAATTCTGGCACTAAATAAGTATTAAATATTCATAGTTTCACTTATTACCCACTTGATATTAGGTTATGGTGATATATTTTGTGGTATCTCAAGAAATCACTGAAGATAACTCATGATTGTTATCTCTGGTTAGTAGAGTTCAAACAGATCTGAAATTTTGATAAATCCTGTTTATTTTTTATTTGCCTACAGTTTTGTGGATTTTTCATACAAATTCAAAGACAAACATAATGATATCTTGCATATATTAAATGGCAATAGTTTTAATTCGTGTCTAGATTAATCCAAGCATGGTTGGTGCAGGCTCATTAGGTAAAGCTAGGGAGTTTGATCCAGATTCGTGCCTTAAAGCGGGATATTGTTTATTTCTAACTTCATTCAAGTCGACTCAAGTTCAAGCTGTAAAAAAAAGTCTTAGTACCGATATCAGTAATTTTTATTGGCTGTTTTCCATTCATTGTTTATATAATAATTAATAATTAGACATAATGTTATCTTTTTTAGGGTGGTGATAAATATCAGGATGCTTATTACATTTTCCAAGAGCTAGCGGACAAACACACAAGTACGCCTTTACTTCTTAATGGTCAGGCTGCTTGCTACATGGCACAGGGAAGGTTTGATGATGCTGAGTCTGTGCTGCAGGAGGCTATGGACAAAGTGAGTGTCTTATTTTCCATGTAATCCATTTTAACCCAAGATAAAAAAGTCTCTGCATTGCTTTCTTCCTTAAGAATAACATGGTTTTTGTATCTCAACCCAAAAAATCCTGGGCGTGCAGAAATGTTTTCGTTTGTAGCCCTAGCCAAAGTGGAACACCTCCTCCGTTACTGTAGTTAGGATTAGAACATTTTTGTAACATCTGCTTTGCAATATATTTCTCTGAAATAAATTTACTTTCATTCATAACTGATTGCTTTATGTATTGCATTTAATTATTTCACTATGCTGGTGTTATTTAAATTCTTAAAATTATTCAAAATATAATGATGCATGCCTGGACTGTTCATGATCATTAAAAAAAAGAAATAAAATCTGCTATTTAATTAATGAATACCCATCAATAAAAAGAACAAAAAACTGAAGTCATATCCCTTGATCTTGTTTCTTGCAAGATTTTTATTTAGATAGCGAGATTTCAGCTTTTATGTAGCAACTTATAAACATTGCGTCAAGTGGTGGGATGTGACCATTATGGGGTTGAATAGGTTAATCCAGCAATTATTTGCCTTTTTTTTGGGGTGATCTTACTTCACAAAATTAGTGTTTTAAAAAAAATAAAATCTTGAATTATCATCTTACTCTTTTGGATATAGTAAAAATTAAAATATCTTTACATTTTGGATAGTGTCACCACATGGTGGGAGGTTGTAAGGTGACATCATATATGTATCCTTATTAACACCTGCATTGTCAAACTGTTGTTCTTTCATTGTATGACACTAAGCTGTTTGGCCCAACCTTTAATGGAACTGCAAATAGGCAGGTCTTGTAGGGCTATAAGGATGGCCACTCTATTTGTTGTTTTCTTTCTATTGTTAGTTGTTAGTTAAATTTTCTTTACCCTATTCCCAATCAATATTTTGTTACATTTCAGGATAGCAACAATGCTGAGACTATTATAAATATGATTGTCCTAAGTCAACATTTAGGGAAAGCTCCTGAGGTCAGTTTCATGTTTGATGTTTTTTTTAGCCCCAGATTTCATTTTAATTGATTTGCTTCAATTTTACAAAATCTTTGGTAATTTGGCCTTTGACTACTATTATAAGAGGAATTATTTTAAAAATATTATGTTCTTTTATAGTCTTCCTTTTTTAATAATATTTATGTATTGAACAGGTTAGCAATCGATACATCTCACAGCTTAAGGATTCTCATCGTAGCCACCCATTTGTACGAGACTACCTACAGAAGGTCTGTTAACAATGCAATAATACTTTTAAAATAAGCAGCTCACTATATCTTATTTTTCTGTAATGGTCTTTAACCCCCTCCTGTCTTAAGTGTTGTTCAGCCCCTGCCTTAAATGCTATTACCTTTTTATATATGATGCTGCCCAGGGTGCATAACAACCTAACCCCCAAACTGCTAAAGTTTACTGGTATTCTGTTAAAAATGTTTCCTTTCTTTGTGAAGAAATCTGAATGTTATCTTCTTTAACCGTCAAGTAATAAGAATGAGGAGTTTAGCCAAACTTTCCAAGTTCTTGATAAGGGATCAAAGCTAAGGTGATGAAGCTATTGAGCCGACTGATGTAGAAGAAATAGAAATTAATGGAGAAAGGGATTATGAAAGTCCTATTGCCAAGAATAACACAAATATTTGAATTGAGAATTAGTACAACCACATCCTTCCTTAGGTGATGAAATTGAAATTTTAAAAATTATTCATTTTTACCTTCATATATTACAATGGAAAGGTTATTATATATATATAACTAATGGTTTATATTAAAATGTTAGTATAGAATGGGGTAATTGCTTAAATACTGCATATTTTGATGTTTTGAAGGGGGCTGTTGACATGCGTAGGGGTTATTATAGACATCAGCCTTGAATTAAAATTTTACAATACACTAAACAAATCAATTAAGGTAATTGGTCATAAAATCTTAAATAAAAACAACATAAAGCAACTGGACAAATAAAAAAATAATATTTTAAACTGGCCATATTGCTTTCTTTGTCACTGATCTTTCTTTCTTATTAAAATATGTGTTTTCAATTCTAAAGAAAATATTCTGACCCAGATTAAGAATAAAAATAATATTAAAGAATCAAGTTAAAATATCAATATAAAAGAACTTAACTGGAGGGATCCATGATCATGAACAAGATGTCAAAATCCTTTGTATTATTGTAAACATATGCATCCTTCTACATCCATTTAACCAAAATTTTAAAAAATCAAAGTATACAGAAAGTCATAGAATGAGAAGTCACAAAACTTTTCTTATGTCATGTGCGTTAAAGTCATGGATAAGCTTTTAAATTTTTTGATTTACTTGTAATTTTGGTGGGCTAACATTTTTAATGTTAGTGCGGATATTTATAAAACTTGTTTCAATTTTTATGTTTTACAGGAATCTGATTTTGACAGAATTGTTAAAAACTACGCTCCAAGTGTTTCAGCATGAATAGGTCAGTATAAAACGACATAATTGTTGATGGTTTTGATGATATTGTTTGATAAGTTACTCTTTCTCTCCGGATCAACGCTCCCATCGTCGATTTTAAATGAGGTTTCGATGGGATCGTCAAAGCACAAAAACCTGTTTATTTTAGTTATTTTCTTAGCTATTGGTTTTTAATTACTTTTAATGAAATCTAGAATGATTTTCCTTTGATAAACATTCGGTTTTTCTTTGTTTCAACGAGTTTTTACATTGAACAAAGAGTTTGAAGCGGTTGTTTTAATTGTCAATTTTATTTTTGTTTACAAACATAAAATCTTGACCTGACCCATCTGGTGATCGATCTAATAAAGGTTGAAAATAAGACTCTGATGACGATTCAGACAGTGATTTTATGATTTCGGATGCAGTGGCTGATGGATCGTATAATTATAATCCTAGTACTAGTATTAGTAGTAATAATGACAAAATAATGAAATTGATATTGGTAGTTCATCAGCTGATGAACAACCAGCCCCACCCCAACTAAAGTGCCTTGTAGAAGAGCTAATACTGTTCCTACTATAAATAATATAGTTGCCAATAAGAAACAAGAACAAAAAAATAAGCTGCTGATCTTAGCACTAAAACTGAGTGCAATTTCAGATTTTTACGTTTGAATTTGAAAAATTTAGGCATAAATTTGGAGCTTGTAATGTGACTAGTACGTCAAATTACCTTGACTATTTTTTAAAAACTTTTCTAGACACATATTATTCACAAGCTTTTACTCTCAATAAATGAGTATGCTTCCTAACAGAATTAAAATCAACACTCCAACAAGATTTATCGAAGCAAAACATGTGCCTATTAGTTCCAAAAAGGACATTGTGCAAACACTATAGAACAGGGCGAACTCTACTGGTATACATTTGTGCTGGATATGAGTCAAATCCGCACATCCATATGGATTGTTTTCAGGCTTACCATAGCTAAACCCAGATGAAAAGATATGAGAAATTTATGGTAAATTTTCCATTTCATAATAAATGTTAGTAAATACAAGGATACAGTGCAAATATTTTCAAATAGCAACAGATTTTTCCAGTGGAAATAGTTTTTTTTTTTGGACATTTTTTTGTGTGGCGGTGACAATGTGCTCTGGTGTTTCATTTTTTTCTTTTTTTAAATGTGACCTTTAATTGTGATGCACGTATGGATATAGTTCAGAAACAAAATATTTTTGTTACTCTTTGGATTATATATTTCTCTTTGTGTGACTTGGAATGAGGGTTTTGTGAACAGTTGGCGAGTTTTTTTTATTTAACATTTTTATTTTCCTTAAATCACAATCACATTTATGTATTAAAATTTAAACCAAAGTCTGTACTGTTTGCAAAGAGCATGCATTCCTCTTTAATTCCATACCAAACTTAACATTTGTCTGATAAAAAACAAAAAAGTTATGATGGTTTAGAGATAACATGGTAGTATGTAAGAAATAAGCAAAATAGATAATTCTGTCAGAACGTGGAAATTAATTCCGGAGAGAAAGGGTTAATATACTATAACTATAATTTTTTTAGCTTATGGTTCATGTTTTTTGTTGTTGCTGTTTTCTTACCTCCCTTTTCCTCCTTGTTTTTATTTATTTCTCATTACTCTGACTATGGAGATGGAAATTTAATGGTTGTATTTTTTATATTTTCAGAGTCACTCCAAAATATTTGTAACAAATGTGGGCCAATGTATATATAAAAACTTGTGGACTGAATAAATGATGCTTTTAATTATTCAAATGCTGTTTGTGTAATTACTTTTTGTATGTTGCAATTTGTTCAAACTCTGATAAGCACTATTGTGTTCTTACTCGCCCTTGCACAGAGCCCTCTGCTTTAAGGACTATGCACTATGATGTAAAGTTTCATATTAAAATATTCTTATCACAAAGATTCCACTGGAACTATAGTTAACTAAATTTAACAGACTTAACCAGTCAGTATAGTTAACAACAAAATGGTAGCCCATAGATCATGGGTTCTTAATCTTTTACCCATTGCCACAACCCCTCTCCTCAAAGTATTGTAGGGTAACAAGTTTTTTGTGATTTTGCTTCATAAATTTTAGGGTCTTCCTGCATCCTGTGTTTTCCCTTGTTAGAGTTTTCATTGAGCTTTCTTTTTGTGCATCTAAATAATTAATGTTTTAAAATTGTATTTAATTAACGATGAAATTATATAAATATGATTCTTATAAAAATACTTTCTTTTTATTTTCTTGTTTATATCTGTATAAAAAAACAACTAAATATTAAGAGCAAAAATAGTCTCACAGTTGTGTCTTGAACATACTAGTTTTCCTAAAAATAAATTATCCTGTTTTTCTTTAGTCCCAGTCTGTTTGTAATTGTCAAAATATTGAATCAGTTAGTGAAAATCCTCATAATTACTGTCAGTGTTTGTTTCTTCATTGCATTTTTATGTCTGTCACTCAACTTTTCATAATACAAATTCACCCAGCAAAGACATGAGATATTTAATAATGAAAGCTGTGAACTTCATATGCAAGAACAAAATAATATGTAGTCACAATATGTTTGTCAGACATACTAGGAGTTGCTCACTCCAATTCATAGACAGTCTAGTTATTTGTTAAACTTGTCAGATATCTGTTTCATTATTTAGTTCCTCTTCATCTGATGTTTTTTTAACACTTATAGAGGCTGTGTCCTCAGAAAATTTTGATTCTTCAGGCATAGGCATAGCTTCAGGGTCGACAACAAAGTCTGGAATATACTGGAGAACCAGCTGCCTGTGTTCTTTTAAGGCAGGACCCCACCACACAGAAGGTCTCAGTAGAGACAGCACTCTCTGTAGATACCGGTACAAATAAGTCATTTATTTCAAAATTAAGTGGTCTATATGTGATGAAAAAGTTCAATGCATCTGTTTGATGTTATCTATCTACCTGTTTTAATGTGCCTTGTTCATGCCATATGTTCCACAATGCTTTCAAGGAAATTAGTGAAAATGCTGCAACCATCATACACCATGCAATAATTTCCACCAATAAGGGATAGCCCTTAGGTATCTGTTGGTCACTTGCAGAAAAGACTATCACAAACTGTTTAAAAAAAAAATAAAGCATCAGAAAGAATCAATTTTAAAACATCCATAAGGTATATGAAAATATTTCTCTAGTAAAATTGCAAAGAATCCTTACAGGATATTTACCCTTAAAACTTCATCATGGTAGTTCTGTTATCCACTTGTTTAAAAAAATTTAAGGCACCTGCTTCTTTTTGGATGTGCCAGATGACCATCAACACCCCCCCCCCCCCCAACCCCATGTCATATGGTCGATAAAGAATATGTGGAGCTTTTTTTTTAAAAAAAAAATTGCTAAAATTGCAAATACACATGCAACAACTGAGGAATTTAACTGTTGTGTAATATATTGTTGTTGAGCC